AGGAGGGGTGGGGAAGGAGGAGGGGGAGAGTAGTAGGGAGAAGGCAGAAGGGAGAGGAAGGGAGGAGATTATAGGAAGGAGGAGGGGTGAGGGAGAAGAAAGGAAGGAAGGAGAGAGAGAGAGAGAGAGAGGGGGGAGACTGACAGACAGACAAACAGACAGACAGAGAGCAACAAGTCATGCATGTTATAATGACGAGCATGAAACTTAAATACGGGTGTTGAGGCGCCATTCTCTCTCTCTCTCCTTCCTGTGTGTGTGTGTGACGATGGAAGTTTAGGTTAGGTTAGGTTAGGTGTACTTTCGCTACCTGAATGTATGTCAATAGGGAACCTGTCAACACAAGATAAAGTCAATATATTGGTGTTATATGTGATAATCGGACCGTCGTGTATAAGGCACAGCTGAGAAGAGATGTTGTATTGTCTGGTATGCTTAGGCACTCTTGGTGATTGCACCCTCCTTAACCCTCCCCTAACCCCCTTCCACCCTCCCACCTCCCCTTAACCCTCCCACCTCCCACCCCCTCCCAACATTACATCCCATAGCCACACTTATTTTGTACAAACTTTTACCCCAATATTTGAGGAATTTTATATATACACACACTTTTTGAGCTTCTCTTAAGGTTCTGTTGTATTAAAAGAACAAAAGTCTTTAGAAAATGAAACAGATGATGATTTCTCCAACAGCATCTTTTGTGTTATTTATAACCATCCAGTGGATACAGGCAGCTGAATGCACACACACACACACACCACACACGCACACACACACACATACAACACACACACACACCACACACACACACACACACACACACACACCACACACACACACACCACACACACACCACACACACACACACACATAACACACACACCTGAAAGCAACTGAGTCATAATTATCTACAACATTAAACACCATACTACCTCCCCACTACCTGTAGTGCATATACTACCTCCCACTACCTGTTGTGTATACTACTCCCACTACCTGTTGTGGTTATACTACCTCCCCCACTACCTGTAGTATATACTAATTCCCCACCTGTTGTGTATACTACTCTCCCACCACCTGTTGTATATACTACCTCCCCACTACCTGTTGTGTATACTACCTCCCCCAATTACCTGTTGCTTACACCACCCCCAATTACCTGTTGTATATATACTACTCTTATTCTCACCTGTTGTATATAATACCTCCCTCACTACCTGTAGTATATACTACCTCCCCACTACCTGTTGTATATCTACCTCCCACTACCTGTTGTATATACTAATTTAATTACCTGTTGTATATACTACCTCCCACTACCTGTTGTATATATATTTACCTCCCCACTACCTGTTGTATATACTAATTTCACTACCTGTTGTATATACTACCTCCCACTACCTGTTGTGTGTGTATATTACCTCCCACTACCTGTTGTGTGTATATTAATTCCCCAATTACCCGTTGTGTATACCACCTCCCCACCACCTGTTGTATATACTCACCCCCACCACCACCTGTTGTATATAACAATTCCCCACTACCCGTTGTGTATACTACCCCCATTCACCCGTTGTATATACTACCTCCCCACCACCTGTTGTATATACTACCTCCCACCACCTGTTGTATATACTACTCCCCACCACCTGTTGTATACACTACCTCCCCACTACCTGTTGTATATACTACCTCCCAGACCACCTGTTGTATACATACTCACCTCCCACCACCTGTTGTATATACTACCTCCCACTACCTGTTGCTTCATACACTACCTCCCCACCACCTGGGTTGTATATACTACCTCCCACCACCTGGGTTGTATATACCACCTCCCACCACCTGTTGTATATACTACCTCCCCCACTACCTGTTGTATATACTCACTCCCCACTACCTGTTGTATATATATTCACCTCCCAATTACCTGTTGTATATATACCACTTCACTACCTGTTGTATATACTACCTCCCCACTACCTGTTGTATATACTACCTCCCCACTACCTGTTGTATATACTCAATTCCCCACCACCTGTTGTATATACTACACTTCCCACTACCTGTTGTATATACTACCTCCCCAATTACCTGTTGTATATACTACCTCCCACTACCTGTTGTATGTACCACCTCCCCACACCTGTTGTGGCTGTACTAATTCCCCACCACCTGTTGTATGTAATGCCTCTTCCTGCTCCTCCTCCTTTTCCTCCCTTCTCCTTTCCATCTTGTCCTCCTCCTCCTCCTTATCTTTCCTCCTCCCTCTCACTTCCCCCACCACCACCCCCTCCTTCCTCCGTCCCTCCTCCCCCACTCACCCCAGGGTATCACGTAGGAACAATTACACAAACACCACAACATCTCATCCAGGAAGTCCCCCCAACCAAAGACTCCAACGGACTGTACCACTTCAGACTGTACCACTTTAGACTGTACCACTTTAATGACTGTACCACTTTAATGACTGTACCACTTTAATGACTGTACCACTTTAGACTGTACCACTTTAATGACTGTACCACTTTAGACTGTACCACTCTAATGACTGTACCACTCTAATGACTGTACCACTTTAGACTGTACCACTTTAATGACTGTACCACTTTAATGACTGTATCACTTTTTAATGACTAAAAATTAATTTTAGCCTGTACCACTTTAATGACTGTACCACCTTTTAATGACTGTACCACCTTTAGATCAAAATTAATTTTTAATGACTGTACCACTTAATGACTGTACCACTTAGGACTGTAAAATTAATTTTAATGATCAATTAATTTAATGACTGTACCACTTTAATGACTGTACCACTTTAATGACTGTACCACTTTAGACTGTACCACTTTAGACTGTACCACTTTAATGACTGTACCACTTTAATGACTGTACCACTTTAGACTGTACCACTTTAATGACTGTACCACTTTAATGACTGTACCACTTTAATGACTGTACCACTTTAATGACTGTACCACTTTAGACTGTACCACTTTAATGACTGTACCACTTTAATGACTGTACCACTTTAGACTGTACCACTTTAATGACTGTACCACTCTAATGACTGTACCACTTTAGACTGTACCACTTTAATGACTGTACCACTTTAGACTGTGCTCAGGTATGCAGATGTCTCCTCTTAATTAAGGCTGAGTGTCCCCAGGAAGTTCTAAAGCAGCTTACCTGGTGATGGTGAGTGATGGTGGTGGTAGTGGTGAGTGATGGTGGTGAGTGGTGGTGAGTGGTGAGTGGAAAGGTACGTATCATTAATGAATCTACCTGTATATTACTCAGATACCAAGCAAACCTGTTAACTTTATGGCTACCCTCCCACCCCCACCCCCACCCTACCTCCCCTCCCATCACCCCTTCTCCCCCTACCCACCCCTTCCCCCCTCCCTCATCACCCCTTCTCCTCCCCCCCCGCGACCAAGAGAAAGTTTACCTGGACTAATGTGCATACCATTATGACCAAGGCGAGATTCCCTGATTGGTTGAATCATTCCTACTGTATCTTAACTCAAATTACAGTGGAAAAAAGTAATACAGAAAATGACCTCAAATATGTATAATAATTAATCAGTATTTTTGTAACATCATTGCGTTATTTTCACCCGTGTTTCAGTATGACGTCACGAGGGATTTCTCAAGGTAATCTCAGGGTTAATTAGACGGTGGATTTAGTTGGGATTTCAGTGATATTTTTTCCCTCACGTAGACATTTAGGGAAGTTTTTCTCTTATAGATTTTTTCCCCGTTCTTATAGATTTTTTCCCTCGTTTTTTCCCTTGCTTTTAGACCATTCGTGGTACAGTGGCAACACCCTCGTCTCTCTCTCTCTCTCTCAGGTTTGTGGGTTCGAATCCTGTAGGAAATTGTGTGTACGTTATGTTATGTACGTCTTTGTCTCTCCCATGTGTACTTTTTCCTCACACTAAAAAAAACATTAAAAAAAAACAAAAAACAAAAAAAATAACAAACACAAACCAAACACAAACAAACAAAACACAACACAAAAACAAAACACAAACACACACAAACAAACACTGGGCAGACCACCAAAAGTTTGTGTGTGACCCGGTAAAAGAGAAATCGACCCGTAGACTTACACACTCAATCAATTTACCTGCTTTAGGGCGATTCATTAGCGACAGGTGTGTGGGTGTACCTGTGTGGTGTGTGGGTGTACCTGTGTGGTGCGTGGGTGTACCTGTGTGGTGTGGTTTGTGGGTGTACCTGTGTAGTGTGGTTTGTGGGTGTACCTGTGTGGTGTGTGGGTGTACCTGTGTGTGTGTGTGTTTTGGGGTGTACCTGTGTGGTGTGGGTGTACCTGTGTGGTGTGTGTGGGTGTACCTGTGTGGTGTGTGGTGTACCTGTGTGGTGCGTGGGTGTACCTGTGTGGTGTGGTTTGTGGGTGTACCTGTGTAGTGTGGTTTGTGGGTGTACCTGTGTGGTGTGTGGGTGTACCTGTGTGGTGTGTGGGTGTACCTGTGTGGTGTGTGGGTGTACCTGTGTGGTGTGTGGGTGTACCTGTGTGGTGTGTGGGTGTACCTGTGTGGTGAGTGGATGTAGGTAGGTGTAGGTGGGTGTAGGCGGGTGTGGGCGACACAGAGGAGTCACCCTACATCACCTGAGCGGCTGGACGAGAACTAATGAGATCTAACGAGGTATCAGGTGAGACTTGTATTACCTGAGAACACCTGATTAATTACAAGCTGTAGTACTCGACCGAGGCGGAGGTAGGCGCAAATTCCTCTTGGCTTGACCTAACTCGACCTAGCTAGCCCTAACTTAAGCTAATTAACTTAGCCTGCAGTAGTTTAGACTAACCTAACCTAACCAGGAAGAACTTCGCCATTTTTGTTATCTCAAGTGGCCGGAGTTTGTCTATGGCCAAGTTTTGTCAGATTTCGAGATTTTGTGTGGTGGGATTTTGTTTTTGTGGGTATTTTTGTTGTTTTTGTGGGTATTTTCTTGTTTTTGTGGGCATTTTTGTTGTTTTTGTGGAGGTACTGTCTAGAGGGAAGTGATTTTGTCCGATGGGGTGATTTTGTCCGATGGGGTGATTTTGTCTTTGGATTTTGGCAGGTAGGGAAGTGTTTTTGTCCGATGGGGATTTTGTTCGGTAATAATGAGGTTTTGTCCGGTAAGATTGAGATTTTGTCCGATAACAAGGAGATTTTGTCCGGTAACAAGGAGAATTTGTCCGGTAAAGTATGTTATTGTCCGGTAAAAATATTAACCGGACCTCGGCACATTATGTTCACGTCTGTTAGTGGGAGATAAATAGCCCTGTTACTGCCAAGCGAAGGAGGAAGGAAGGAAGGAGTAGGGAGGAAGGAAGGAAGGAAGGAAGGAGGAGAGGGAAGGAAGGGTAGGGAGGAAGGAGTAGGGAGGAAGGGGAAGGAAGGAAGGAGGGAGAGGGAAGGAATGAAAGAAGGATAGGGAAGGGAGGAAGGAAGGAGAGGAAGGAAGGAAGGAGTAGGGAGGAAGGAAGAAGAGAGGAGAGGAAGGAAGGAGAGGAGAGGGAAGGAAGGAGGAGAGGGAAGGAAGGAGAGGGAAGGAAGTAAGGAGAGAGAGGGTAGGGGGTGTCACCTGTTAGATCAATACACTTGTGTAATTATCAAGAGCTGGAGGGAGTGGCGGGGGGGTGAGGCCTTAGGTTGACTAATTGGCCTCGGATGGATAGTTAACTCGTTTATCACTTGTCTTGGTAAAGGCAGCGACTAGGGTAGTGTTTTGTAGACGAAATCGCTCCTAACCCAACCTAACCTAACTCTAACCCAATCCCAACCTAACTCTAACCTAACCAATCCAACCTAACCCAACCAACTAACCTAACCTAACCTAACCTAACCTAACCTAACTCTAACCGAACTCTAACCTAACCTAACCTAACTCTAACCTAACTCTAACCTAACTCAACTCTAACCTAACCTAACCTAACCTAACCGTCAAATAAATGCCCAGGAATTTTATGCCCAGTTGTAAATACAATAATAAAAACAAAATGCCAATAACTCTGATGACTGATTATTGTGAGTAACGGACAGGTGTGTTAGCGGACAGGTGTGTTAACGGACAGGTGTGTTAACGGACAGGTGAGTTAACGGACAGGTGAGTTAACGGACAGTGTTAATGACAGGTGTTAACGGACAGGTATGTTAACGGATAGGTGTGGTAACGGACAGGTGTGTTTATGGACAGGTGTTTTAACGACAGGTGTGTTAACGGACAGGTGAGTTAACGGACAGGTGTGTTAACGGACAGGTGTGTTAACGGACAGGTATGTTAACGGATAGGTGTGGTAACGGACAGGTGTGTTTATGGACAGGTGTTTTAACGGACAGGTGTGTTAACGGACAGGTGTGTTTATGGAGAGGTGTTTTAACGGATAGGTGTGTAACGGACAGGTGTGGTAACGGACAGGTGTGTTAATGGACAGGTGTGGAACGGACAGGTATGTTAACGAACAGGTGTATTAGCGGACAGGTGTGTTAACGAACAGGTGTGTTAGCGGACAGGTGTGAGAAGTGAGGTGTGTTAGCGGACAGGTGTAACGGACAGGTGTGTTAACGGACAGGTGTGAGAACGGACAGGTGTGTTAACGGACAGGTATGTTAACGGACAGGTAGGTTAACGGACAGGTAACGGACAGGTGTGTTAGCGGACAGGTGTGTTAGCGGACAGGTGTGAAGCGGACAGGTGTGTTAACGGACAGGTGTGTTAGCGGACAGGTGTTAGCGGACAGGTGTGGTAACGGACAGGTGTGTTAACGGACAGGTGTGTTAACGGACAGGTGTGAACGGACGGTGTGTTAACGGACAGGTGTGTTAACGGACAGGTGTGTTAACGAACAGGTGTGTTAACGGACAGGTGTGTTAACGGACAGGTGTGTTAATGAACGGCTCTTAACTTAATGCAAATACCCACAATAATCAAATCCTTACTTATATAAAAACGTATATAAACAGATAACCAATTAATTTAAACAAGTGCTAAAAAAAAATACTCAATATATTTAATACATTATATAATAAATTTAATTATACTGCATCATACATTAAGCGGCTTGTGTATAAATCCAGACTTGGAAAGGTTTGAATATTCTCACCTGATTTGGCAGCCATGTGTTCGTGGTATTTAAGCAACATGGTGGTAAAGGCACAGACGAGGGTTTTTTACACTAATGTTGAGCGGTAAACCCAGTCATTATAGCCTAGTGTATCACAACCTAACCACGACCCATACCAATCACGCCCATAATTAATCACGCCCATAACTAACCACGCCCATAACTAACCACCCCTCATAACCACGCCCACAACTAATCACCTCCATAGCTACGCCCACAACTAACTACCCCTATAACCACGCCCATAACTAACCACCCCCATAACTAACCACGCCCATAACTAACCACACCCACACCTTCTGACGCCTACAGCTGTGCGGGAGGAAGAGAGATGGTCGTGCAACAGGTCACTCACGCTGTCTCCTCACGCCCCGCCCACCATCGTCACCTCCAGGTTTCCTGCCCACTACCCGCCCTCCCGCACCTGCGTCACCACCCTCACCGGCCCGCCCACCGCCCACCTCGTTGTCCAGTTCGACGCCTTCATCCTGGAACCCCACCCAACGTGAGTATTGTGGGTGGAATTGTGTTATTATTTTCCATGTATTCAAAACTAACTCAAAATTAGGTCAGGTTGGGTTAGTTAGGTTAGGTTATGTTAGATCAGGTCAGGTTAGGTTAGGTTAGGTAGGTTAGGTTAGGTTAGGTTAGGTTAGGTTAGGTTAGATTATGTTATGTTAGATCAGGTCAGGTTAGCACAGATAAGTGTTTATTGAGCTCAGGGTGTTAACTGAACTCTGACATCAAATTTTTACCTTCGTGTTAACCTGACCTCAGCCTTTTCTTGGCCTCGGGAAGCTCGGGTGTAGATCAATGACCTTCTGAGGCTGGTGGGTTAAGTGTCACCATTAGCGGTGCACCGATATTGGAATTTTATTATCGAGAACATTAGGAGAAGATTGGGGGGGGGAGGGAAAGGTGAAACGCTTAAGCTTATTACAGGTACTCGAAGGTAAACTAAAGCCTTTACTGGTGCTGGTGAGACAGACAGACATATACTTATCATCTCAATAACACCTTACCACCATAAATATCTTTTCTCACCAATATACTTCCTGTCAAAATTATCCACAGAAGTAAATATCCATGAAGACTCTTCCAGTATGTCTGCCTTGGATAAAAGATGGGTGATTTTTTTTCCCACATACGGAGAGCTTCAGTACATGTATCAAGAGTTATCAATATTCACTGGGATCTGGTGCCGTCCAGGGTGGTAGTGTGTGAACTTCCCGTCAGGTACGTCTGTTGTGTCCCGAGGTGGAGAGAAGAGTCTTGGTGGTAGAGAGAGGAACCCATAAACAGTCACTCAAAATAACTATCTCTACAAAATTGGACGAAGGATTTTGACAACACTCCCGAGACATCAGGAGTCATAAAGTGTTCATTCTGGGATTCATCGATCACCCCAAATACAGGTTGTTGTTTTTTTGAGTGACTTACGTACACACAGTTAAACACACACACACACACACACATGCAGAGACACATAAACACACACACACACATACCTAAACAAACACACACACCCAACAAACAAGTTAAATTTCATTATTCTAACACCATCATCCCAGGTCGCACAAACAAGCAAAAACAGGACGCTAAAACACCAGAGAGACAGTCAAACAAACACAGATAAATGGCTACCTGTCAGCCAGGTGTACGGGGGATAATAAAGACAGGTAGAGAGAGACAGGTGTTACAATTTAGTCCAAGTAAACAAGTTGGTCTTTGGGGAAAATTAAAATATATAAACGGAGACGACTTTAGTGTACCGGAGGTGGTGAGGGTGGGAGGTAATGATGGAAGGGGTGGTGGGAGAGAGAGGGAGAGGTATAGGATTACTAGTGATCCCTGCAGCTAAGACACCGTATCCTCCATCCTTGTCATCCTAATTTACATATCCTGCCACGCCCTTTCTCTCCTCTCTCCCACCTCCCCCTCCCTTTCCCCCTTTCCCTCTCCCCCTTCCTTTCTCCGCCTTCTCACCTTCCCCTTCCTTTCATTCTTTTCTTCCCTTCTTTACTCCTCCTCCTCCCATCCTTCCACACCTCCCCACCACCTCTCCCACCTCCCCCTTCCCTCCCCCCCTTCCCACCACAGGTAACACCAGGTACCAGGTAGGACAGCAGAGGGTCGGAGTATCGACCTGTGGACACTGTTGACTCCACTTACCTGTCAGTCCACCCCTACACCCCTGCCCTACACCTTACACCCTGCCCCACACCCTACACCCTGCCCTACACCACACCCTGCCCACACCCTATGACCTACACCCTGTGGCCTACATCCCTAACCCAACCTAACCTGTACTACAAGTTTCCACACTGAGTCAGGCTAAAGACAGTATATTATTTACCTCCTGACAGCTATTACACCCGCGAGTCTTCCTCTGTGTGTGTGTGTGTGTGTGTGTGTGTGTGTGTGTGTGAACATAATGCCAACATAAATTTATTACACCAAGACAAAAAAAATAATTTCACATAAACATATTTTTTTTTATTATACAGGAAGCAATTAATTAATTCCTTGTCTACTCCTCCTCACCAGGTAAACTTAACACACACACACACACACACACACACACACACACACACCGACACACACACACACACACACACACACACACACATAGTAGCTGGACACTTGTGGTTCAGTACATCTCACAGAATTGAGGCATTTTGTTATGTCTCTTCACCCAAAAAATGTAAACAAAGGCTCTCCTTTTTTCTTTCTTTCTTTCTTAATAACAAACATAATTATATCCCAATTGTGTTTTGTTTTTCATTCTCTTCCATTTCCTTCTTTCGGTTGGGTCTAGGGACACAGAGAGAGAGAGAGAGAGAAAGGAGGATATATAAGACTGATAAAAGGGAGAGAGAAAGGAAGAGAAAAATAACTAACCTAACACGCAAAAAAAAAATCTTATTCCCAACAAAAACAACAAAAAACAAATACAAAGTCAACACGTACTGTACTTGTTTTCCTGTACCCATAACAAGGACAACAAGGAAAGGCACATGTATAAATCATCTGGACAGTAAAGGAGACAAAATGTCGTCAAATTTGTACAGAGACTCGATTTCACCTTACAACCAGATGGGAGTTTGGGGGAGGGCAAGGGGCAGTCCTTTGAGGGTCTGGGGGGAGAGGTTGGGGCAGGTTGGGGAGGGGCGGGGCGGGTCCTTTGAGGGTCTGGGGGGGAGGGAGGGGGTGAGAGCCAGAGACACACCTGAGATGGTTAACTGTATACAGGTAAATAGCTTAACACATTCCTTATTGACAGTTCCTCCAGCCAGTGTTGACAGGTACCAGTGTCAAAGGTTTGTGAGGAGGTGTGGGAGGGTGGTGGTTGGTGACTGAGGAAGGGGGGGAGGGGGCAAGGGAGGAGAAGGGGGAGGAGAGAGGAGAGGGGGCAAGAGGAGGAGAAGGGCAGAGGGAAGGAGGGAGGGGGCAAGAGGAGGAGAAGAGCATGAGGGAGGGAAGGTGGGAGGGGCAAGAGTGGAGGAGAAGGGCATGAGGGAGGGAGAGGAGGGGGGGTTTAGCAGGTCAGGTTAATTACTCTGTGATAGACTTGACCGGGACACCAGATACCGGTAGGCGGACCTGTCTCTGTGTAGCGGTGACTGCTGCTAGGCGCTGCTGCTGCACGGTTAAATTGCTCCGGAGATTAAAATTCCACCGGCTTAGATCCCATCTCACAATTTCACAGAGGAAGCAATGCCTTCAGGAGTGCAAGAGTTAGGTTAGGTTAGGTTAGGTTAGGTAAAGGTTAGGTTAGGTAAAGGTTAGGATAGGTAAAGGTTAGGTTAAGATACATCAGGTTACACTGACCTTAATCAAGTTGGGACAAAGTGGTTCAGCTGAGACTAACTCTAATCAAGCTGGGTTGGGTTCACTGAGATCTTGTCCTACAATTACTGCGACTGGTGACCTCCCCCACCAGGTCACCCTCCCACCACCAGGTCACCCTCCCCCACCACCAGGCCTCTCCCCCACCACCAGGTCACCCCCTCCCACCACCAGGTCACCCCCTCCCCCACTCAGGTCACCCCCTCCCCCACCACCAGGTCACCCTCCTCCGCCACCAGGTCACCCCCCCCACCACCAGGGTCACCTCTCCTCCACCTTGCTGGGTTAATCACACCGGCAGCTGTACCTGAGCATTGCAGGTAATTTAGGAAGACCTGGTAGTCACGGAGGCCAGGGAGGAGGAGGCTCAGGAAGAGGAAGGGAGGAGGAAGAGGAGGAGGAAGACGAGGAAGAAGTGGAGGAGGAAGACGAGGAGTAAGTGGAGGAGGAGGAGGAAGTGGAGGAGGAGGAGGAAGTGGAGGAGGAGGAGGAAGTGGAGGAGGAGGAGGGAGGTAGAGGTAGAGTAAAATGTGTAGTTTTATGTTTGTTTACTCTCTCTCTCTCTCTCTCCCCAATTTATTTGTTCTATTTCTATTTCCATCCCTCCCTTTCCTATCTCCACCATCCTATCGACGTTAGGTTAGGTTAGGTTAGGTTAGGGCATCACGTCATTTCTTCCCCCATAACAATAAGGAGTAAGATCCAACCCTTGTCTCTTTCAATTAAGCTAAGTGATGATGCTAAGTTAAAGGGAACGAACGTATCACAATGGCCAAAAAACACCACCGTTCGCCGTTCTCATTTATCAGTCCTACGTCAAAAGAAAATAAGTAAATAAATAAATACTCTGGTCATAATCGGACTAGCATTTACCGTTCCGTTCCGTCCTGTTCCGTTCCGTCCTGTTCCGTTCTCATTCCGTTGTCTCTCTGATCAAAACAATAACAACAAGGATGGCCGCTCGTCAGGTTTGGTGTCAGACGTAAATTATGAACAAGGATGAAGAAGAAGAAGAAGAAGAAGAAGAAGAAGAAGAAGAAGAATGGCCTTTTCAGAATCCATTTTCGCGTCGTAATTTACTGTACATGTGAGTCTGTTAAATACGTTCACACACACACACACACACACACACACTCAGCCAAGACCTAGTTCCTCATGCAAACTTTTCTGCTGCGTGAGATTAAATTTGTTTCTCTCTCACTTCCTCCTCCTCCATCCCTCTCTACTCCCTCTCCCATTCCCTCTATACTTCCCCCTGTCCTTACTCCCTCCCTCTCTCTACAACCTATGCCTCCCTACTCTTACTGGGACAAGAAAAATCTCAAATATCAAAGGTCCATTACCACCCCCGATCAATACGGCCAGGCAATAGACAACCTCCCTAGACCAGCATCCGCCAGTATGGTCGGCAGAATATGAAATAAGGCCCTTACAACACACATATATGGGACAGGGTAGGATGTCTAGTTCCTGTACCTAAATTTCTTCAATTTCCGAACTATAACTTCCTTCCTCCATTGTTAAATTACTATTTTTCAAGTTGTTCACGTATAGGCCTAACCTAACCTAACCTAACCCTCCCTTATCTAGCTGTGTTCTCTACCTGTGGCGTAACTGAGGGATGTAGACGTTCTTGTTTATTGTATGGGGGAGTGAGAAGGACAGTTTTGATTGCTTATACTTCAATATTGTCGTTAGTGTGTCTGTAATCTTTACTTTTCGTATTATAAATCTCTTTTCATTATTGCTCGACGTTATTATTATTATCACTGTATTTTATTATTCTCTGTTGTTATGCCTACATCATTGCCTCACTTAAGTTATTTACATAAAGAATAATGTCCCTGGAGGCTCCACGCTTCCTGAGAGGTATGTTGTCAGCATCACAACTTGGCTGCCAGACTTTCAAGAAACTAACTTTGTTTATTTTTAGACGGAGAGAAATTTTAGGGTCGGGGCTAAAAATAGAATCGCTCGAGGTGACAGGAACTTCTCTCTGTTTTTGTCAGTGGGACGGGAAAGAGGTGAAAGAGAGGGAGGAGGAGGAAGGACGGGAAGAAGGTGAGAGGGAAGGTGAGAGAAAGGGGGAATAGAAGGAAAGGGGTGGTGTAGTATCGGATTTTGAAGTGGATTTATTTATTTATTTATTATTGAAGGAGAAAGGGATTACATTTTACTGGTGTTGTCGAAAATCTCACTCGTCCAATGGTGATTACAGGTTGGCAATTAAGTTATTAAGTAAAATTAGTTAAACTATTATCACACAAGAGGAAATCCAAAATGAGGATTAATAAAATTCTTAAAATTTCTTTTACATTATATTATTTTAGAGGTGAAATGTGAAAATTATACTGTTAAAATATTGTACAGAAGTTTGTTTGGCTATCAGCAGTGAGCATCATCACATCATGCTCCACTAATCCTCAAACATCTGTTGATTGTGGCGATAATTAAAGGTTACACACCACTACACATCACCGCCAAAGGTTAAATTATTATAGGCACCTGTTGTCATATTGTTCATGTGTTTCTTATAATATTAACTTAGTGATTGAAATATATGACGTTAAGGCGGTGATTGTCTGCCATATTAAAGCTGTTAATGTCATATTTTTCCTTCGTTGTGGAGTCTCAGAGAAATAGTATATAGTCAATTTAACTATTAATATTATAGTTAAGTTAAGGATGTACTGATAGAAACTATTTAACGTGGTAACAAGGTGATTCAGTTTAATGGAGAACGGTTGGACGACACGGTAACAGTTAAGTATTTTTCTGTGTTCTTATACTAGTTGTCTGCTAGTGTGATATAATAGGAAGTTTTATTAGACCCTTGAGTATGATGATTTAACCTCTTGAGTATGATGATTTAACCCTTTGAGTATGATGATTTAACCCTTTGAGTATGATGATTTAACCTCTTGAGTATGATGATTTAACCCTTCAGTACGATGATTTAACCCTTGAGTATGATGATTTAACCCTTTGAGTATGATGATTTAACCACTTGCGTATGATGATTTAACCACTTGAGTATGATGATTTAACCTCTTGAGTATGATGATTTAACCCTTTGAGAATGATGATTTAACCCCTTGAGTATGATGATTTAACCCCTTGAGTACGATGATTTAACACACACACACACACTGAAATTTTGCTCGCCACCAGGATAGATTTTCAATACCGTTGCCAAATATTGCGAAGAGCATTAGTGAGTCAATAACGAGCGGTCAGAGGTGTAGCTTACCTGTGAATAGGTGAGTGAGTGAATGACGTAAGCAGTGGCATGAGTGAGTGAATGACGTCAAGGAATATAGGAGCGGTATTCAGTCAGTCTAACATTTTTTTCAACTAACATCATTTTATCATATTTTCTGTTGGTTAATGTTTGTTTGGTGGGTGGTGGGTAGGGGTGGTGGTTAAATCTCACTTATGTTGTTATCTCAAACGTGAATTACATGTGTGTGTTTTTTTTTGTATTTTAGGGGAATTTTTTTTAGAAATATGTTATCTTTACGTAGGTGCTGAACTTCTTCTGTTGAGTAGGAATATTAATGTAGTTGTTCTGTGTTTATTTACGTTTTAACATGGCAACAGTGAGTCATTCCCTACACAAACCAGTTTTAACATAACAACAAGGGCAGTACACGACTCGCTCACCACCATACATGAACCAGTCGTGTTTTAACCTGGTTTTGACAGTGTTGTGGCTGGGTTAAGTACCATTGACCTTGGTTGAGTGCAGGAGCGGTCATGCCGGGGCTTCAGGATATATTGTTGAGGAATAAATATAGATGAAGTTTAATGGCAGTCTGTAAAGTTATTGTTTCCCCTTCCTTCCCTCTCTCCCCTTCCCTCCCTCCCTCCTACCTAATGGGTGGGAGGGGGGTAAGGTAGGGGTGCCAGGTGGGGGAGGGGGGGAGGTAAATTACGACCAATAAAAGTCAAACTCACATTCAAACAAATATGAAGTTATTGGAAATATTCTCACACAACACACACAGGTAGCACACAGGTAACACACAGGTATAGGTAACACACAGGTAACAGGTAAGTTCCTTTTATTACCTTCACAGTGAATCTTTTATTTATATACATTAACACGTAATATATATATATACCGTAGCTAAATTGTATCCCTAAATAGATGATGATTTTTTGCTATGGTTTAATAGTGTATCTGATATCAGTACCCCGTTGTGGTTAGGTTAGGTTACGTTTGGTTAGGTTAGGTTTACCTCACTGGTGGGCTGCAGGTGTGTTTAGTGAGAGATTCGAGTTATTTTATATTATTATTATTATTGTTGTTTTTGTTATTGTTATTGTTATTATTATTGTTGTTTTTGTTATATTTTTGTTATTATTATTATTGTTGTTTTTGTTATATTTTTGTTATTATTATTATTGTTGTTTTTGTTATATTTTTGTTATTGTTATTATTATTGTTTTTGTTATATTTTTGTTATTGTTATTATTATTGTTGTTTTTGTTATATTTTTGTTATTGTTATGTTGTTATTATTATCATTGCTTCACGAGGATGGTGTTATCTTCCCGTAGGTGTGAGTACGACTGGGTGACGGTGGGTGAGGGTGGGGGGTCGACTCCTCCTGAGCGGATGTGTGGGGACTGGTCCGCCAGGCTCAAGCTACTGCGCTACGTCAGCCACAGTAACAGGGTCGTGATCACCTTCGTCACCGACTACGCCCACCACTTCCCAGGGTTCAGGGCTCGAGTCTCTGCCCGTACAGGTAAATAGCCTCAAATACCAGGTAAACCCCATTCTGTATAACCTTTATTACCGATTCTCGAAGGTAAGTACAGGAGGTTAATATTACCCTCAAAACTTACGCTGGCAGACTGGTATAATTGGCACCTCTCCCTCCCACCTCTCCTTCCACCTCTCCCTTCCACCTCTCCCTTCCACCTCTCCCTTCTACTTCTCTCTCCCGTCTCTCCCTCCCGTCTCCCCCCCTCCCACATAAGAGCCCAGGACGTATGTGTAACACCTTTAGTTAAGTTATTAGTAGCGGGGCCTTCCTGTCGCCTTACTCAAGTTATAATATATGCTAATGTTGTTTGGTCCTCGAGCAGGTAATTTGACACTTTTAAATGTGACTCCAGGAAATGTTATGGAGTGGGAGCTGAGTGGGAGGAGTGGGGTTATGAAGGTGAGTGTGAGAAGAGTGGGAATATGGACCACCCACACACACGCCATCCTATATTAAAGCTTTACATAATTGGGGATATGATACACATCCCTCAGCTTCCCCGATATTTTGTTCTCATTAATTCAGAGATTATTAGACAGAGAGACAGGTAATTTGTTGGATTACACTACTGACTGACTGACTACCAACGCGGTGTTATCAGTGAGTTTTATTATACATACTTGTGACGAGGCTGTGGTTGACACGTAAATAATGACCTCACCTGCAGTCCATCTATTATTATTATTATTTGTTTATTATAATTATTAAAAGGCAGAATCGACTATTTTCCATTTACAATATGAGTGTTTTCATCAAATTTTCAAATGGGATGGATGATTCTATTCAACATTGAGGGCGGTTATTGATGGTCTGGTAGGTGATTTAGGAGATTTAAAACACATATTTGGAGAGAAGCAATTATAATTTAAAACAGTGTTGAAAGTAATTATTTTTAGTTTGTGATTCCTTAATTGTACTCGTGTAGTAAGAGCATTTAATGAGCCAACCCAAACAACACACGCAGCAAAACTTTAAAACAATAATATAAACAGTAATAATAATAACAAATAAATAATAGAAAATTGTATATGAAGTTTAAGTTTATAAATTTTGAAATACGGTGATGGAAAATTCTCAACTCATCTGTGACCGCCTCGAAGTTTCCTGTTGTAATTTTGTTGTTGAGGTTATCTCGGAAAATAGAATATAACACTTTATTTCACTTTGATTTAGCCTGTGTATAGACAATGAAGGTATACAATATACATATACAGTGAATTAATTTTGTATTTTATCAGATCCTTCCGTAAATGTACTTTGTTTAGCTGTGTGGACATGTGGTGGTAATACTGTGTTAATTTGTGGTACACGTGTTAGTATTTTTCAGATTTATTTCTATGACTTTACCTTTTATTAACCTGTCATGGGGATTACTTATTTAATTATGATATTTTTGCATCAATTTATTCTGTTAATAAATTGTTTACTCATTTATAATGCTCTGTTTTTGTTATAATATTGTTTAATAATGTATAATGCTTTATTCTCCAAGTTGTTAACAAATGTTTTGACTTACAGCTGAAGTAAATTACCTGCCTTGTTAATTATCATGTCACTCGGTAGTTTGCATTTTGCTTTTACAATAAACAAGAAACAAAAACAAAAGAGGACTGTAGTTGACCTTTAACGATCATTTATGAATCCATTTTTGTGGTGTAGCTTAAGTGAATCAGTCAGGTGTCCACTCTTACATCTCCAATTACCTTTTTATCATTGTATTAAATTTAGTGAACCAGTTAGGTTTTCGAATCACGTTAGCATTTTTGTGAGTTGAAAACAAAATCCCACGATCCTTCACAGAAAACGGATCAACATAGAGGAGGGAGGAGGGGGTCTAGCAGTGCACTTTTACATGACATCAAGAGATAAAAAAAACACCTCAGGGGAAATATGAGATTGTCTCCCAAGCCTTAAAGCTTTACAGTATCGACTTTTCTGTGTTAGACGCTGGTGAAGTCTTCTTGATAACATGGAGCTTTGAGCCTGATAGTGTTGTGGGGTACGAGGTGTTTGGTTCACTCTCAGGATGGGTTGGAGAAAGGAGACTCACAATGTGCTCTCTGTATACATGTTGTATTGGATGTACAATGCAGCTTGGTGCTGGGAAGGCAGCATGGTTACAAGCGTGATGTAGAGAGAGCTGGTTGGTGAGGGTGCTCAGAGGAGGACAGCTTGTGGGTCGCCATGCTCGCCGGCGGGAGCGAGGACCGCCAGGCAGGCGGAGGAGGAGGAGGTGTTGCTGGCTGGTTGGTGTAGGTAGAAAGAGAGATCACCACGAGGTCAGGCCTTAAATAGCAGGGGTTGGCGTGGCTTAGTAGTTGACCTCCGTGATGTATGGGGGCGCTGGTTGACCTAGACCACGAGGCATACACTGTGGAATTCGTGGGGTCGGCTACTCAGCGACAAACAGCGTTTGTAGGGGAGAAATCCACTACAGTGTCTTGCCTACCAATATTCACTGTAACTTTGATCATCACCAATGGAGTTTATTAATTTTTTGGATTGATCATTGACGAAGTAAGGTGAGTGTGTGAGTGTGTGTGTGTGTGTGTATGTGTGAGTGAGTATGAGTGTATGTGTGCGAGTGTTGCCATAAAATAATTCCTTGTTTGTGTTGTGGTGTTGTACAGGTAGCGGGTGTGGTGACGGTCGTGAGGTGAGGCAGGGGGACGTATGTTACCTGCTGGTGCCTTACCCAAGGGTCACCTGGAGTACTGCCACACACATCTGTAGGGACATGGAGGTGAGTTAGTCATACATTCTCCTCTCCTTCCTCCTGTTCCTCCTTTCTTTCACTTACATTCCCTCCTTCTCCTCATCTTCTACCTTCCATCCCCTTCCCTTTCACTTCCTTTCACACATACCATAATTGACTCCTGTACACTGTGTCGACTCACTCAGTTGCAGGATAATACTGTAATGTTTATTCAGTGTATATTGATTATCTCTTTTCTTCTGTCTCCTTCGTTTATCTGATATAATCTTTTAATACATATTTATTTATCTGTCTAATCCCTAATCTCTTTCTATCTGTATATATCTACCTGTCTATCTGTATATCTACCTGTCTGTTTATCTATATCAAATCCTTTTCTATCTACTATCTATCTGTATCTATCTATCTATCTACATGTAAATATAAACGCTCAGCCTATCTACCTGTGTTGTATGGTGCAGGGTGACCTAGCCAGTGTGCCCAGCCTTGATGTGTTGCGGTGGCTGGGGTCAGGACTACGTAGCCTCCCAGACTATGGCACCGGGACACTTTACTGGGTGGGCGGGACACTACACCCCGACTCCCACACCTGGAGCTGGCGCGATGGTTCTCCTCTCAATGTTTCAGGTATGGCCTACACCCACGCTACACCCACACCTCTGTTATCTTACACCCATGTACACTCTATGCCTACACCCACTTCCTACACCCACAACCTACGTACACCCACTTCAACAACCCCTGCATCCACATTGGTATTTGGTGGAGACAAGTAGATAATTTTCACAGATAACTTATGAAAGATTCTGTTCAAAGATAATTTTAAGTCGGTAAAGATTCAGTAGAGACCATAGTCTGTTAAATTAGATAAGGTTTTGTAAATTTAAGTCTTATTTTACATTTGGTTCGGTTAAGTTGCTAAAAATTATTGTTGTCTTTGCTTGGGTGGTATTGGGTCATATCGCCTTAAATATCAATTGACGTTAAATAATAATGTTCGTATTCCTTTTATATCACCTATATATTATATGTATAGATGGTCACTGGGTGCAGGTGTCAAGTGGTGTGTCCTTCATACAGAGGTGGGAGGTGTGGAGGGGAGGTACTTGGCTGGGGATGGTGTCTCTCTGTGTCTCAGCCTGCAGGAGTCGACATGCCGCCACCGAGGCCCCGCCAGCACCGTCACCCACCGCTCTCACTCTCCGCCCACCAGTGTGACCTCTTCGGCGGCTACATCTGCGCCAGGCGGGTACCCGGTGAGTCCACAGCCTTAATGTAACACAAACTAGATCTAATATGTTCAGTTTGTAATATGTTGTTAATAATGGCACTCAGCAAGGGGAAGATGGTGGAGGTTCTCTTTCATGGTGTTATATGCTAATATATATTCTGTACCATCTTATTAATTGTACCATCACCATTTAATGACCTGTGAAGTAGTGGACGTCATTCTCACCTTGTCCAACGTGTAGTCCTGGGGTTGGTGCTCGGTCACGAAGGGAAGTTTTTTTTGCACTTTGAACAACATACAGTACAGGCTTCCATGTCCCTACTGGCTGTTGATATAGGCTGGTACAGTACTACTGGATGTAGGGTATGAATCATCACTACCGCCAACATCATTAACTCCTCCTTCTCATCTTTCTTTGGCTGGTCTGGTTGGCTACCTTGTTGACCAATGGGAGGGGACTCTACAGACCCACCAGCGAAGCAGAGTTCCATTGTGTTGGGTTACGGTGGCAACTTGACCACCTGGCTATCCTTCTCCTTACCCCAACAACCTACACCTCACCCTCACTCTAAGGGGACCTCCCAATTCTCGTCTGGTGGTGTCCTTTCTCAAGCTGGACCTCGAGTACCAGTCCGAGTGTCTATATGACTACGTCGGCCTCCAAAATCCCCGAAGACCACATGGAGCGGTACTTGGGACGACACAATACCGACATGGACAGGTGAGATGCATTACTGTTTACCTGCGATGATGACGTGGAGATGTGTTTTGGTTAGGTCAGGTTATGTTAGATCAGGTCAGGTCAGATCAGGTTAGGTTAGGTTAGGTTAGTGTTTGGGACAGGTAAGCTGGGAACATGTTTGGGTGACTCCTGTGAGAGTAAGCTTGAACAAGTAGGATTATTACATGGTTAGAAAGGAAGATGGCCTGGATAGACAGAAAGTGCAAGACTTAAAGAGTTATTTAGCACAGTGGTGCAAGGGTTGTGAGGTAGTATAATAGTGTATTTGGTCCAGCGGATAATTACGTTACGTTGTTTGTCATACACAAAGTGCAGGTACAGTAATAGGTTTTGGTTCCATAATGTTATGTTACACAGTGTTCTTGTTTGGCCAGTTAATATATACCTAAAAAATATTTAAGTTTTTTGGTTTACTCTTTATTAGATGACAGAAGCTTGTGTGTTGGTCCATCAGTGGTGAAGTGGAAAAGTGATGAGACATGACAGGTGTGAGTGTACTTTTAGCACGAGTGTGTGTGTGTTGACAAGTGACTTAGCTGTTACCTGTTAATAACCTACACTTGGAATTTATAAGCTGGTCTTGCTCGGCAGGTTTGACTTCGTGTCCGAGAGCAACGAAGCTTTGGTGACCTTCCACTCCGATTGGTCTGTGGTGGGGGCGGGTGTGCGGGGACGATGGCGGGTGGTGGACATGTCAACTTGCCCCCACCAGGAGCTGACTGAACCAGAGGGAGTCGTCACCTCACCCAACTTCCCAGAGTTCTACCTGGCTCACCTCCACTGTACCACGGTCATCACTGCTCCAGGTACATCTCTCACACTTGTCTCTCCCCCTCACTGGAGTATGGCAACCTTCCCCCTCACTACATCCCTCTGTCCTTCTTATTTACACACAGACAATGAAAGATCTTCTCCTTTCAGGGAGATTGATGACCTCCTTTGCTAACAGTGATGGGAAGTCTCTGTACTTTATCTTTGACTAAGGACAGTCTCTCCTCCCCTCAGGGAAATTCATACTGTACTCCTCCCTCCCCTGTAGGAAGATCAACCATCCCTCCCTGCCAGCAAGGTTAGAGTAACCACCAAGTCAAGAGGAAGTCTCTCGGGAGATTGAGGCCCATTTCAAGAGTACAGTATTAGTCTCCCTGCACACAAATACCTTTAAACAACATGAATAAGCAATAAGTATTGGAGTAAACAGGCGAATATAAAATTATAATAGGAAGAAATTATTTTTTTAAACAGTATACAGTGTTGTAGTATGTCAATGTAATTGTCAACTGTGGGAAATAAAGTGTTTAGTCAGGAGTTCAAAGAATTAATTATAATTTTTTTATTAAAGAAAACAAGAAGCCTTGTAACTATTCTTGTTCAGTGTAAGACAATAGGATCGGAGACGTGGTGTGGACAGAGTGGCTGCTTCATTATTGTTGTGTTTGCCAAACAAAATGCAAAGTTCTTTGTCATGTGTTTGTCTGTTTTGTGTCTTCTCATGATGGAAAATGCATGAGGTTATTTATTCAAGTGTTTGGAAATATTTTGCACGTATCAACATGCTGTCACATCTTCATAGACGACGAATATATTCTTGTTCTTATCACTGGGTGTTTCTGTGAGTGAGGGAGGCTGGTGTCTGGCTCCTCTCAGCTTATATGAGAGACTATGGATATGTTAAGTCTTTTCCCAGGAGGAACTTCCTCTACCTGTCATTGTTCAGCCACAAGTTTGTCGCTGGGGTGATGCTGCCAGTGTCACATGACCAGATGTTTAACTTATCTCTATTATTATTACTTGTATTTATTTCTACCTTGATCAATGTTCTTCACATAGAGTGCAGATTATATTTAGTAATAAATGTTAAGGTTTATAAAAACCAACATAGTGGAGTCTTATGATGTTTGGTATTAACAGAGGGTCAGCGAGTGTGGATCCAGTTCAAGGTGTTTGAAGTTGGTGGAGAGAACAGCAGCAGCAGCAGCACCAGCAGGAGGAAGAGGCCACACACCACACCACGTGGGGATGGTTACTACCAATACCAGTCCACCTCTGGAGAGGAACCTTCTATTTTTTCCTCCACTTCCTTCAATGCTTCTTCCAGTGTTCCCAGACTCATTCGTGCAATATCCATGACCCCCACCCCCTCACCCGCCACCACCTCCACAACACCCGGGCAGGGGGAGGCAAGGCACCGATGTCAGGAGGATTACCTGGAGGTGAGGGAGGCGTCATTTTTTATACCTGTTAGGTTTTTTCCCTTCGTGTATATTGTTGGTGACTAGCGGTAATGTTTCTTGCACTTTATCTGCTGGAGTAAAAGATGCCAGTCACTGAATCATAATTTATTACAAACACACAGCTTTAAAATATTAAGATTTGTAAATTTCATCTTAGTTTCTTAGTTCAATAATGTTCCTCCTACATACATACACTAAACTGTCTTTTACACTCTTGAAATCACAACAACCCTTCTCAGTATGGTGGGAAATCTTATCATCAGGATAGAAATAGTGTCCCCAAATTACTTTCTGTATTTCATTTCTTAGATAATGCAATCTTGTTCTTCTTTCTGCTGATATAAGGGGATGATGGGGGGGGATGTTTTTCCTGGTTACATTACATAAGGTTAATGTAGTATTGTATATGATTAAGTAGTCCACCTTTTTTTGCTCTTAGTGGTGAGGTTAGGTCGAGATAAGTAAGTTAATGTTATGTACTCAACGTTCTTCCTCCTCACACACAGGTGGTACTGGGTGATGATGTAGGCGAGTCAGTGCGCTTGTGTGGTGCAGTGTCATCAAGGGAGGTGGAGCGACTGTCATATGTGTCATAATGGTCGTCCCTCACCCTCCTCCTCCACACAGTTCATCGTGGTGGTGGCAGGGGCTACCAGGCCAGCTATGCTATGAGTGAGTCTCTTAATAATGAGTGAACTGGTGACACCATCAGTGAACTTTCTTGCAGGTTTTGTAACTTAATATCTATACAGTTAACCCTCACTTTACGCGGTCCCACATTCCGCGTTTCCACGTTTACGCGGTGCCCTGCCGGAACCCAGGATGCTCACATTCCGTGGTGCGTGTACCCCTTTACGCGGAGAGCGGCTGGCGAGCCGCGCCATTTTTGGATCCAAACCTCCCGCCATCCGCCATGTTGTAAGCTGCGCCAACATGGTGCGCACAAGGTCGCCCAGTCATCAAAACATTACCAGTTCTTCACCCCACCCACCACAGCCGCCCCAAGTCAGTGATAGTGATAATTATGGTGAGGATATGGACTTATATGGACTTTGGGAGTTTGACAAAGAGGCCCTGCAAGCCTCTGTGGTGGATAGTGATACAATTGATACAAGTGACACAGGTGAGGGCCAAAATCTGCCCTCTGCCTCGAACCAACCATCCCCGTGTGCCCAGCCATTTTTCTACTAATGTAAGTGTTAAAACCTAATATTATTTATATTTTCTTAATTATTAATGTGTGTGCATACCATCATAAAGTTAAGATAATATTTTACTACAACATAGTTGTGTCACAAAAGTGGAGTTTGGGGATCGGCCCGACTCCATTTCAATTAATCCCATATGTTATGTTATTCACTTTACGTTGTTTTCACTTTTACGCTGACCCTCCGGGTTACATTAACCGCAGAAAGTGAGGGTTAACTGTATATGTTTCATTCATTAATATATTGTAATAAACTTGTACAATATTTCAAGATAGTCTTAAGTGCACCACAGTATACTGCAGATTAATTACTGTTGAATGATGAAGGAACAGATATATACAGAGGATCATCTTACTTGAGTAAATGTTTATAAAGTAACCAGAGCTAGAGAGATGTGTAGAGGTGTCTGGCACTTGGTCACCAAGAGTCCAACTGAGCACATCTTGGTGAGCAGGACCTCAGTTGGTCAGCTCTAGTTATCCCTGTTGTCATATCTTGGTAATCTTATTTATGATTATTGTTTTCTTGTCTTTCATGTATCTGAAATTTCATGATGTTGTGGTTTTTTAGGTTCATATTCATACAATAACATTTGACCCTGATATGTGGACCCTGGTTTGTTGCCTGACCAGATATATACAGCAGAAGATCAGACTGAACACAACAATGATGTTTACCCAGGGGGTAGTGTTATGGATATTTAATATTAACCTCATTAGTGTCTGCATGGATGAGTTTCTTTATGCCATTTGCCTCTGTCTACCTAACATACTTGGGGACTTGGATGTTGATAGATTTACAGATCGTGTTCCGGGGTAATGGTTAGCCAGTGCAGTTGGCGAGTTGTCCGGTCTTCTCGGACTATTCCTTGACACCGGGTCATGCAGCTCATTAGCTTGGGGTGTGTTTGTTGTGTTGGCGACAGCTTTTACACTCAAACAAATTCATGTCTAGGTGGCCTTAAGGCTGGCCATCCTCTTAGACGAGGAGTAACCATTCTATACATTATTATTATTATTATGGTGACTGAGATTGGCATTGTGATGCAGGTACCAACTTCAAGGAACAGGCTGTGGTGCACGTGGCGTCATCTAGTAGCAACAAGGTGGTGGGTGTGGGTGGAGAGGAGGGGACAGTGGTGGGCATGGGCAGGATCCATGCTCTCAACTTCCCCCTGGCTCCAGCACCTGAGTGACTCTCACCCACCAGCTCCTCGCCCCTACAGGACACCAGCTGCATCTCCGTTCACACCACGTGGCTGCCCTCGCTTCTCCCAAACGCTCGTGCTTGCAGGTACACACACACACACACACACACACACACACACACACACACACAATATTAATGAGTTACCAAAGAAAGATAAGGAAATATGTCATGTCGTATAATGAGCTTTTTGTTCCTGTTTTTAGTGGAGAACATTGTTATGTGTAGTGTTGTGTGTATTTCATTACAGTAAGTTCACATAAACAATAGATAGGGAAAGGGTAAAGTTTTTCTCCTTATGTTTCTATTTATATCTTGTTTGTTGAAGTTCAAGTGGAGTCAAAAATGTATACTATATGTTTTAGTTTTGTAGAGTGTTATAGGAGCTAATACATGTAAGGTACTATTATTGGTTGGTGTGGAACGTGGCATCAATTTGGAGAACACAGTAATATTTATCTCTCCTGGTGTATACGTGTTACCTCCATGTGTGACGAGTGATGTTCCCTCCACAGGACTACATCGAGGTGGAGGATTGGTATGCTGGACGGAGTGGCACTGTGTGGAGGATCTGCAAGATAGACCACTCAACTCACAATGAAATATCTATCAGATCAACCTTCAACACCCTGTCCATAAGGGAGGTTCACCTTGATCCTCGAGCCCCCACTGTTGCCCCTGTATCATCCAGCATCACCACTAAGTCAATATCCCTTCATGATCTATTATCCTCCTCCAGCACCTCCTCACCTTTTGGTAACTTGTCAGTTGCCTCAAAGAAACTCCTCTCATATTCCTTAGTTAATTCCTTTACATCTTCATCTGTGTCGGACTCATCACCAAACACTCCCATATCTCCCCAGAGGTCCAAGACATCATCAGTAAGTGGTCATCATCCTCCCCCAACAGAGGACACAACAATATCCCACAATGCTGTTCTCTATACTTTCAACCCTGGAAAAGAGGCCTTACCCTCATCACCACACACCGCATCACCATCTCCTCCACCATCACCACATGTGTTACCATCACCAACATCATCACCATCCTCAAAGTTCACTCCTTCAACATCCACAACCAACTGGGTGTCATCTGTTGCCTTCTTCAGCGCCACTTATGAAGTTCATGCAGGTTTGTAATAGTGTCTTGAAACTCATTAATAAATAGCTTTGGTGTTGATTTATATTTAGATATAAATACTGAAATAATATATGGGATATAATTATACATAACTGATCATGCCAGAGTTGAGAAGGAAGGGATCAACTCGCGTATCGGTTTGTGCAAATTTGTATTGATCTGAATGGAATGCGAGGCTGCCTCCAGAACACAGAGAGGCCCCCTGACAAGGCAGTTCTATCAGGAGGGGGGAGGGGGTTGTCTGTAGGTACTGTAATAATGTGGGAAATATGACAAGTGAGCCTTAAGCTATACTTTCTTTGTATTTGTTAAATCAATTTATAAGGAGAAATGTGAAGTATTTATAAACTTCTTATTAATATCTCTAAGTTTCTGTAGTGCCTTTAACAATAATTTCTTGTTTTATGAATATGATGTCAGCTACTGGTTAGGTAGAGCAAAATGAAAGAGTGATGAGGTAAGACCACCCATGTTCACCACCTCATCTCCTCCGCAGACCCTGGCTGGTTGAACCGTTCCATAGGTGTGGGTGTTGGCAGCTTGGGTGTACGGGTGTCGGGTGTGGCCTCTTGTGATCCATCTCCTTGCCTCAACAATGGCCGTTGCATCACTGAGGGAACCAACCATTCTTGCCTGTGCACCAATGGCTTTACCGGTGCCTTTTGTCAGGTCAGTCAGAGGGTTCTGTTGTTGTACCATTTCTCACTAAGACAAGATTTACCTCTTTAATAAATGATGTTAAATTCATATTTAGACTTACTGTACTGTACCTGTCATTAGCTTTCCTCTGACTATGTAATGAGGTGTGTAACTCCTGTAGGTGACTTGGTGTGAGATGTCACCCTGTCTGTGGGGTGAGTGTCAGCCTGGAGGACCCAATGGATAATGGTGCTTGTGTGAGAGGGGTTACGGAGGTCCTCGCTGTCAGGACCGCATCTCCCCATGTGATGGTGACCCCTGTCAGAGCCGTGGTGCCTGCACGCCTGGCAACTACACCTTCAAGTGCCAGTGTCATGCCTGGTGGGAAGGTAAGTCATGCCTGCCACCATCTCCACTGCAGTCTTATCTGTGATGTCAGTCTGTTTTCAAATAACTTACAGTATTGAGATATTTCTGGTACATAGATATCTCTAATTAACCAAACTAAATTCACAGTTCCATAGTATGCATTAAATCAGGTATCATACAGTATTCAGAGGCCAAGCATGAGCTTCATTGATGGTCATGTACAACAGGTCTTCAAACATGGTCTCTGCTTAACTTTAGTCATGCATGTTTCCTTTTACAGTGTTACTGCAAAAAAATCAACTCGGATGAAATATGTCTTACTGTTGACTTTATTATCAGAGCTCAGATGAAGCTTGGTTATGGTACTTGTGTTAAACAATTAATATTTAATTCCAGTATATATTTTAATATTTAGTTACTCTTTTAAAACTGTTAAATTAACAAAGTTGGCTTTGGTGCTTTAAATTGAACTGGGGGATCCAAAATGATCCCCTTGGCATGACTTGACTAACTGCACTTTGTTTAACTTTATTCAGAATGATTTACAAATATTGTACTGTAGTCCAGGACACGTAGATTTCAGTAAACGCAGGCTGACTTACACCTGATGATTTGATCTTGTACGCTGTACAGGCCAGCAGTACTGGTCCCAGAGGCCAAATACAACACTGAACCAAAGATGCTGGCTCACAATTCAAGATTAGAATTTCTTTATGAGATTTTAAGCTTTTGGAAATATATCTGTCAAACATGCAGGCTTTATACTACAAGCACAGATTCTTGTAAAGGTATTAATAACCTCAGTAGAACCTTGCATTATACTGTACCAGTGATCAGGAGTTGGCTATAGAGGTGTCACAAAACAACAAGATCGCTCTCTCTTAAGTGAATTTTCATTCTAATCTTAACCATTCCACTTATAGTTTGTTACTTATTACAGTAACAAGTACAGCCAGAAGCTTAGTTCCTCAAAGTGGGAAAGATATTACTAGAATTATATAGAGTTAAGCAGTAAAAGTGTTGACACCAAAGTATGAATTGAATCACACAGATTCTCGAGGCCCCACAGTGATGACATCACTGTGTGTTACAATTCCCTGTTTTTATTCAGTGTCCACAGCCATGGGTCATTCTCTCGTATCCGCAGATGTCTTACAGGTATTAGTGGATCATGCAGTAATAGTAACTAAAGCCTTAACCAGAGTTGTCAGCTTTTGACAGGTATTTTCATCTACTGATGCTTTGAGCAGTTTTGAGACAGTGGCATTAATAGTTTTGGCTCTGGTGACGTGTGTGTAGGGGAACGGTGTGAACACAGGATGCTGAGAATCCCATTCAAGCCGCTGTCAGAGAGGATGTTTGAGGAGCCCTTCTGGCTTGGCCTCATGACTGTGGCCATCGTCATGGGTTGTATCGGCATAATCTTCTGCATCAAGAAACACTTTGCTGAAAAGATTGAGAAGTTCTTCGCTGAAGAGATTGAAAGGAGCAAATATGGTAAGTACGGTTGTTTCACTATTGCATGTTTGATGTACAAATGAATATTATTGAAAAAATTAATGTATTTTGATATAAAATGAATATTACATACCAGCTATGAAATACTATGTCATAATAAATTATTGTTGAGTAAAATTCAGACACTAAATGTCACTTTAAACGTTGTAAAGAGAAGAACATTGTCGTGTGTCAGGCTGTTGGACGACACAGCTACAGTATTATGGCTCTTAATTGAACATATTCATAGTCTTCTTATATGTAACATATAGTATACATGATAATGAAATAATCCTAATTTGTCTACAAAAAGTGTTATATCAATGTTCACTGTGATCATTATATCACCATAGAGAGCAGTGTGGTGCTGGTTATGACCAAAGTGGAGTTACATTAGGTATTACTACAGTATGTCCTGTACCTGTATGTATACTGTACTATGGCTATAACAGATTTGATTAACAGATTTATTCACTAATTGGCTTAGACATGGTATTTAATGTTGCTGATAATATGAATTGGTTATGGATAAGGCAATTATAAATGTCCCATATGAGGAGATTAAACTTATTAAACTTTTAAAATGAATACAGTGCCATGTAACTCATCTTTAGTTATGAGTAAGTTGGATTAGAAGATGACCAACCTATACAGTCTCTCAAACATGCTCTTTAAGTAGTTGTGCTGTTGGAGCCCCTTCTCACCAAGGCTAAAGCTGAACAGGGTGAGGAGTAATACACACTCTCCTCTTTATTTTCATTCATTCCTTTTGTCATACTAGACCTCTTCTCTTCCTGCCTGACTTTAATATTATTACAAATATTCTCTAAGTTTATAATTAATGCAATAGATAATATATCATTTAATAGAATCTAAAGTACTGTACTGTAGGTCTTATTTAACTGTTGCACACATAGCTATTGTTCACAGAATTATTAGCCTCTTATTGCAAGATTAAATTCAATATTAAGTAATTTTTAACCTCATAATGATCGTGTTGTTGTTTTTTTTTGTATTAATATAAGTTCTTACATATCATTTTACTTGTTTTATACATAATGTGCCTTGGTAAGTTTTTTCCTCTGTGTTTATAACTAATGAACCTTAATGATTATAAGAATATAACTGCATACTATAAATTACTTTGACATTTTTCCTGGTAATTTCAAGTTGGTTTATGCAACTGTATTATGTTAGGCTGATTATTGGTAGTAAATAGTAGTCTTAGCTTCCTGTGCCTTAATAAAGTTATATATAGTTAACAAAATATAACTAATTTATAAGTGTAATATTTTAAATTATTCAAGGAATTAATGATAAAGTTTTAGCCATAAATTAGGTTAATATGATGAGAGTGTTGTGCATGACGGTGGTGGTGTTCCAGCTTACTGTTGTGACACTGTTGATGGCTAACACATGTCATGTCCTTCATGTTGTACTAAACCAACTTTGTGTTGTTGCTTTAACACTGATAAAGGCACTAAATAGTCTCATTCATGTAGTCAAGTATGATGGGGAAACAGTACATGAGATGGCTCCCAGGTAATGGTATCTTAGGAGAGTAGCAGCAGGAGTGAGGTAGACGGTAGCATGAGCTTGGTGGTAGTGTAGATGGTATTGTCTTACCCCAGGAACCCTAGAGTGGTTGTTAGTGCACCTTGTCACAGCATCTATCCCTGGTGACTGACTGACACACTGCTGTTCCAACATAAAGACCCTCATAAAACTCTACAATGAGATACCTTTAAATTTATAGGTAACAACAGGAATTATATTGGCTTGCAGATGTGCCAAGTTTTATTACCATATAAATAAAACAAAATCCTAAACTGGATGATTCAAATCCCCTTCTTCTTTAGTAACTGCATCAAAATAATGTTACTAACTGGAGATAAGAGTAGATGTCTCCAGTTGTCTTAAGGTTTTTTCTTCTAAAATTTATTACTATAATCTCCATGACACCATGTACCGGCAGTGCCTCCAGTATACAGTGTGTCTTTTACCTCAACACAACATTATCATGTTTCTTCTTAACACATTTATATAAGAGGAATATCTGTGCCCCTGAGCTACTGTGCCATAGTTGAAGTTTACATTGAAACTCTCTCTTTATAAATTAGATTCTGAACACTTGTATGGGTCATTAATAATAGCTGTATATCAGAATCATTCTGTGTCTTGTTATGGGCCAACCAACTAATCCATTTTTGATCCGCGGCGTCAACCTGGACAAATGCAGAAGGTGGGACATCGTTGTTTCTGGGCACGCTGGCACTTACTAATACAGTACAGTATTGTAACCTGGGTGGCCCCCTCCGCCCAGGCTTGAGGAATGACTTTTTAAGGTTAATTCTGCACATCCAACTGCCAATCAGATACAAGGGAATGATCATATGCCTTATCATTTAAGAGTATATACAGTATAAAATATATATATATATATATATATATATATATATATATATATATATATATATATATATATATATATATATATATATATATATATATATATATATATATATATATATATATATATATATATAGTACAAGTTTTACCAAGAATCACTTAACTTATAAGATTGTGTATTATAATTTTCATGCATCTTCTTGATCTTTTTTTATTAAGATATATAAGCATGTTTTAATCTTAGCCTAGCATATTTTGCCTGATTAAAACACCAACGAAAATCCCATCTTGCATCTGGTAGAGATAGCGTTCATCTCGACCCTGCTTATCTACAGAGGCGTCCCCAGCTGCTGCCATCACTGCCACATCTTAACCATTTTATGAATTATAGAATTACTCAATAATTTCACTTGTTTTACATATGCAAAAAGCACAGGGTGACTGATCATTACATATTATGTTATATTACACATGAAAATGGCATGATTTAACTAGCTGTAATGAGAAAGCAAAAGTAGAAATGCGTCATGATGCAAGCCACTGTGGCTGTAGCGGCTCAACCGTGCACACCCTGGAAATAATCCAAATTATAGCTGTGGTGAATGTGCAAGATGTTCAGCTTAGTTGAGGCACTTCTTCTGACCTTTTGAGATACATTATTCCCTTGTACAGTGCAGTGCAGTACAGTACAGTACAGTACAGTACAGTACTGTACTCCCACGACACCATACAGTACAGACCCTCGAGTCATACCTCTCCAGAATTATGAGTCATAAGAGTATATGAACTGGTGGTTAGTAGTTTACTGTACTCACAAGGTTAGAAAAATGACATTGATCATTCTCGACAAACCCAGTTCCTCCCTTGTTTGTTTCATATCCCTATCAAGTTATCTTACATTGTTTCTTTCTGGGTTGTTGGAATTAATGTTTCTTTCTCAAATTCCTCCTCACATTGATATTGGCTGCACAGTGTCAACTTAATAGATTAATATTAAAAAAAACTAATATATGTCATACAATTTCTTACATTATTTTGATGACAGTGGCAGTGTATGATACCTTCCTTATTGAATTATATAGTACAGTATTCAAAATATATAATCGTTCACATAAATTAATATATATACAGGTAGTCTTTTTTTTTTAGCTGATGGTACTTGGCTATGACCCCCCTCCCCCCTCCCTTAGCTCATTGGCTCAGACATAATATTCAATTAATGTTGACATATTGTAAGTAAATCCAAATATAATTGCTAAGAATACCCAGTTCTGGCTCACGTTAATGCCGAATTTAATTTATATAGAGATATAACTGCTTGAAAATATTAACTTTCAAGATATGAGTGAGAAAAGTTTGAAATAAAGAATATTTACTGTCGAAGTCACAAACAAATTCACGCTTTCAGAGAACACATTCAGAATAAATTCAGTACTTCTTCTCTTTTCACTAATTATTATGTATATCAAGACAAATGACACCAAACATATAAAGCAACAAATAATAATGATCATTTTATAAAGATTAGAATCAAGTGTAAACACCACATATTCAGGTAAAGATGCCGTTTAAGATGGACGTTACAGAGAGGTAGTGTGCTTGGTGGAAGAGCCACTCAGCTGAGCCTGACATATCTCTAGAGTATTCTATTTACCCCAAACATTTTTCAACATATGTCTTGAGAGTTAATGTTTCAAGCTACTTAGCCTAGTACAATCAGCTATAAAAGAGACTATAGTTATATTATTTGAGTTAAAATGTGACAACTAGTTTCAATTTGCGACTTAGAATGACGCTTCAGCTTACATAATACAGCAGCTGAAAGGAATAACTTGGGGTTGAGTCATCTTGATGGTACATACAGAGTACCTCAGTCATTATGCAGCTCGTATTTAACCCCTTGCGTACGATGGCTTAACCCCTTCACTACGGGTACGCCACTTTTAATATCCTATTTGGCTAACACCAGACGACTTTATTCAGCTCAGAGGCGACATCGTACACAAGGAGTTAGTAGATTATCTCCACTAATCCTTTGAGTATTACAGCTTAACCCTTTGAGTACAGTTGCTTAACCCCTTGGAATATGATGACTTAACCTCTGTTTAATACAATAATTTACCCCCTTCATTATGGTAACTTAGTACCTAAGTATGATAACTTAACCCGTTGAGTATGATGGCCTGTCCTCTTGAGTACAATGACTTGTCCTCTTGAGTATGATGACTTAAACCCTTGAGTATGATGGCTTTTCTTCTTGAGTATGATGACTTGTCCTCTTAATTACAATGACTTAACCCCATGAGTATGATGGCTTGACCTCTTGAGTATGATAATTTAACTCCCTTGAGTATGATTACATGTCCTCCTGACTATGATGACTTAACCCTTTGATTATGATAAATTAACCACTTATTGTACAATGACTTAGCCCCTAAATATAATGTCATTTTCCTCAAGGGGATATTTCATCATAGGGTTAAAATGCCCTACTCTGGATATTAGGTCATTGTACTCAAGGGGTTATGTCATCATACTCAGGGGGGTTACATGCTGGATAGACTCATTCAGTTGTGCTAAAGACTTAAATTTTCATTGCCACATTAATGAAAAATAAATTCCAATTGCTCTCATTCTTAACTTATAAGACTTGTTGACAAGGAGGAGGAAAAGTAAATGTTGTAAATAAGAAAAGACAAGTGTGGCCGGTGATGATGTTGCTAGAAGTATTGTACATGGGAGGTGCAGTAGTGTCGTACATTGAGAGTGTTTGTAGTAGATCAGTAATGAGGTGGGGATGATAAAGTTAATATGGCTGAACAAGAAGATTTAACACTGGGAGAGAGGCTATAAGTATTTTATTTTTTTAACATTTTGCTGTACATCTCCCATAGTTGTGCTCTGTTAGGCAACCAGGACCATTCCTATCCTCGTTGTATTTATTAAATTCTACTTGTATCACCCCAAGTCTAAATCTTTAGTGTTACTTGTCACTTACAGTCTTCATAAAAAAATGTTTGTTTTTTTTGCACATGACAGTCTTGTTTAGTGTGGTCCTGATGTACTGGGCTGCTGACTCAATTAAACTGGTCAAGATATCAGGAGAAATATTTTTATTGCTTTTAGAAAATAAATTTGGTTATTGATTGTTGATAAAACCTTACTATAATTTTATGGTAAACTTAAGGAATATAATAATTTATTTAATCCTCACCAGAACCTTACATCTGTTCTTGTACCTCGGGGCCACACTTGCAGGCCATGGAAGCATGAAGTATCAGGTTATTATAGCTAAGCCATCACTCCTATAACTTATACTCCCTTACACTTACATATGATAATATTTGCCCAAAGCAAAAGTTTGCTGTGCATCTGGTTTTTTTCAGTGGTTGGTAGATCTTTTGTTAACATGATGCCACTGTCTATGAAGGTCTGTACATGTCTGTATTGCTTCACTAGTTCCTGTACAGTACTAGCATATTGCATCCTGGGAGAGCGGCCAAATTAGTGTGCGCCTTCAGGAATTTTAGTGGTAACTGTGTTGTGAGCCTTAAGTGGCAAGGTATGTTGATGTGTGGGCTGGTGTGTAGGGTGAGGACTGAGGCATGTGTCGTTGCAGGTGCAATGTCCCCCGCGCCCTCCCGTCTGGCGCCTCTGCCTAGTCCTACGGGGCTCAGCCCTCGTCCTCGTCCAAAGTCCCTGTTTGTGCGGCTCAATAGTTTCCGCAAAGCCTCGCTTCTTAGCCTGTCCTCGACAGCGTCCAGTCCACAGTGCGAGGCTCCCGCATTTACCTTTGACGATTTGCTCAGGCTGCATAAACGTAAGGCTGTGCTTCCTCCTACACTCGCACTTCAACCTCGGATCCTCTCCGTACTAATGCTACATCCTCTGCCCCGTGCCTCCTTTGTATCTACATATTCTTGCTCATACAGTAATATGCTAGACTTTCATACATAACCCATTGATGGAATCAAGTATTACAAAACAATTTTATTCTCCCTAATATCTTCATATAAAATCAAATGGATGTCATTGACAAATGCACAGGTCTTATTCCTTCCTCTCAGGTGGTGCATGATCTCTGGTTCCTTAACTGCTGTATACAGTACTCAAGTTTCCTTGTCTGTGTCTGAGTAGATAAGTCAGCCTCACTATGCTGTACATAAATGTTGTGTTATGGTTTTCATCTCCCAAAACTTCTCAAAATTTTCCAGTGAAGGAAGAGTTGCCTCTGTTTCTTATCAAATTATTATTTTTCATCAGAATTATCTTGTTTTTTTAGCTCTGGCAAGTTTTATACAGTATATGAAATGGTACAATATATCAGATACAATTGAGACATAACAAGAAGTCTTTCCTTCAGTCTCAGTTCTTAAGTTGCATAAACATTTATCATAAAGGGAGATTGTTATTGTTTATTTTGACAACCTAAAATTGTGTACACATTAATTAGATAGGTCATAAAACAACAGTCTTTTACTAAGTATTTTTGGTTCTGCACCACATTGTCATATACCATTCTTCTTATACTGAACTTAAAGGACCATTTAAGGTGTCTGTTTACTTACACTTCCTTTATTACTTTAATCACAAATTTTCATGCAGTCATTTCTCATACATCTGATTCTGCAGCTTAAATACAGCTTCTCTTAATATCTTCAAAGTTGTCTCTCAGTAAATTAATATTTAAAGGTATGTAACACACAACAATGCAAATAATCTTTACCTATCACCAACCCCTTCTACCCCCCCCCCCCCTATCACTCTCCAGTCTCCACCAATGATACACAGTTGCTTCACCCACACTCCCTGCTTGAAGTTGCTTGCTTAATTATTGCTTCAAATCAGAGCTTCTATTGCTTGCATTTGCCTTTGTTAGTTTGAGTAACATAGGAGACTAAAAAAAAAAATAATAATTCTGGAGTGTGATTTTTGGTAAGAATAACCTTTTTCTTTAACACTTTTTTGACCCATTACTTAAAATATTTTGTTTAAGGGAAATTTTTGGGGGATATGATCTATTCTTGTGACTTACTCTGCCTACATCACCAGTAAACTTTTCACCAAATATTTTCTGGAAACAATGAAGAAAACACATTGCCATAAAGTAGGATGTTACCTTCAGTACACTCTCTCTCTCTCTCCCTCTCTCTCTCTCTCTCTCTCTCTCCCTTAGTTTGTGCCATATATAGTATATGTCTCCTGTAATTGTCTGTTTTTACTGTAACACCTGTACGTAGAAGACCTGTGTATGCTGTAACTTTATCCGTTAGTCTCTCCACTGTACCCTCTCACCTTGCCTTTGCCTTCAACTTGTACCGTACACCTCTTCAGCATGGCTCCTCTACCCCAATCTTGTTCTATGTTCCTTTTGCCTTACACAAATACCATATTCCTCTGTGTGTATGGTATCTCAATTTGTTCAACCAGTTCTATCTATTTTTGTCTTGTAATTGACCCTATGATAGGTACAATATTCCTCCCCTGTACTTTGGCTCTCTGTTGTAACTATTTTTTTTTTTTGTGTACTTGGTATTTGTAATCTGTACCTGTAAATTGTACCTGTACCCCATACCTGTGTTACTCCCTTGTGTGTGTGTGTGTGGTAGCAGCTTGTATGTGAACCTGGTTATCTGTATTCTACATTTCGTCTGTCCACTTATACCACCATACATTCCTTGTGTAGTCTATATGCTCAGCTTCTAGTTATACCCTCACCATATATACCTTGTGTCTATATCCTTTACATGTGGCTATAATCTTTTTTATATAGCCTCTATAATATAGTTACATCCACTTTATTATGAATCCTTCCCACAAACTTTCTCTACTTTGAACTGACAATCTCCCAAACTAATTTTTCTCATAGTCTGGAATTATTATCACCCTTATTCACTGCAAGCTAATACTAATATTGTTTCATCACCATGTACCAACCTTATAATACTGATGACAACTGTTATTATTTTCTTAACAGATATATTACTATAAAATTTTAGGGTTATACTGTAGTTTGTTTTATGGGTCAATGATATTAGTCCCTGTATGTGTTGTCTATATCCTGTACATCATGTCTCGGGGGTCAGGTATCTATGTGACTCTCATACTAGACAAAAAAAAACAAATAAAAATAATTTCTATAACCCTGTTGAGTAGTATCACAAAAAATATAATTGTAAATGTATAAAATTTTGGTGTTTCAACATACCATCAATATTGTAAGGTTGTCCTGACTCATCAAATTACTTTTAAGTTATAGATCATGTAAATTAAAACCAATTAATGATAAATCACTAATTATCAAATAAATCCCAAGCTCCCATAGCAGCTGGTCAGAAAGTATTGTAGAGTTTGTGTTTGTGTTGCTGTAGCTTCTGTGAGATAAAACCCTTGTAGTGTAAAGTAAAAATATATAAATAAAACGTAGATCTCAGAAGTAAAAAAAAGTCCTTGTGTCATTGTCTTGCTTATTATTATTGTTATTATGATGATTGATGATGATTATAAATTTATCCACTGCCTTCATAAATGGACCTTTTGAATGAACAGTTGTGGCTATTTTCTGTTGCTGTAATGAGTTAGAGGCATTACCTTTAATTACCCTGTATTGTATTGTACCCCTCCTCCCCCTCCCTCTCCTGTCCCTCTCCCTCCCACCTCTCCTTCTCTCTCACCACCATAACTACTACCATTATATTCCTCCCTGCTTCCTTTTTCCATTATAACCATCACCATCATGTACCACCTCCTCCCCTCCTCCATCATTTCCACCACCACATTCCTCCACCGCCCATCACCGTTTCATCCCCATCACTGCCACCATCATGTTCCACCCTATCACCACCACCATATACTAAACCCCACCACCCCCACCACACCCTGCCCTCCCTCCACCACCACTGCCGTCAACAGGAGTCCCCTCCCCCAGTAGTTGGCCTAAGTGTCAGGAGGTAACTTAACTCTTCCGTGGATTTAAGGTGCAGGTGGGTCGGCAGCGGCCAGTAGCAGCAGTAGCCCTCGTCGCAGCAGCCACAAGTGCCGCTCTCAGACAACCAGCCCACGTGCCGACAGTAAGAAGATCCTGCGACATCTAGTGACTCCTCCCGTAGGTCACCGCACTGCCAGCTTTGACGAGTTCCTCCACTTGCGGACTCAGACCCCCAAGTGCAGTGTGGTGAGTTGCGTTGCTGTTTTCACCTACTCGTCTGTTCCCCTACACTCGTGTTTTGTTTTTAATTTATTCTACCGCTTCGTCTAGTGTGTGTATCTGTGTCTTTATGAATCATATAAATGCTTGTGGTCTTATGTGGTAATCAAGGACGTCTGGTTAGTGAAGAACAATTTTTTTTTTTTTTTCATCAATAGGTATAAATAGTTAAGGGAGAGAAACACATTGAAAGGAACGAGATGATAATTTAATGGTGTGAACAGGAGAGGTATTAAGGAGAAATGGGGTAGACTGAAGTAAAGACTATGCTTGGCTGACTACAGTACATGAAGAGTGAATGAATTTCTAGTAATGAGTGTTCAGTGTGTTGATGGGTCATTCCTCACCCTATGACATGGAAGGGAAGAGAAAGCTTTTTTTTTCATCGGCCGTAACAAGAGTAACTTTTTGTTGACAGAAGTACTATAATGTGTAACAGGTGTGTGAATTATTGAGACAAATGGCAGAAATATAAAAAAAAATTTCTCAAAATCTATAAAGAGTTTGCATATTACTAACATTTTTGTCATTATTTTGTACATGTGGTATAGAATTGGCAGTAGATTTGAGACATTTTAAAAGTATATTTATAATGTAGTAAGTTGGACAAAAATTAAGAGGGGACAAAAATGCAATATTTCCTGTAAGATTTATATGGTAATGTAGAGAACTGGGAGGATGAATACAGAGGAAAGAGTGAGAGAGAGAGAGAGAGAGAGAGAGAGGGAGATAGAGAGAGAGAGAGAGAGAGAGAGAGAGAGAGGATATTATTTTCTTATACATCGATGAACAGGGTAATATATTCCATCTCTTTTATCTGATTTAATTTTCATATTTCAGCCCTATCTTCCATTACAGTTCTTCATTCATTCTAACGTGAGACTGAGGAAAAATAATCATGAAATTCCATACCGGAAATACATCATTAATACTAATAATAATAATAAAGGGATAGACAGAGGTATTGAAATATCTTGTTGTTTTTTCTACAGTCAAAGATTTATACAGTTAACTCCTGCTTTATGTTGGTTCTGCCTCTTTGATGACGAAATGATTGTCACACGTGCGCTGTTTCACACTTGTACTGTCTCGCGCTAACACAAGGTTTCACACACACACACACACACGCATGCACGCACGCACATGCTCACACACACACACACACACAATTTCTCACACTCACTATTTTACACACACACATACAATAACACAATGTTTCATACAACCACAGACTTGGTAACACCTTACACTTGGCCACATACCCACACAATTGGCCAAACACTCACCCACTTGGCCACACACTCACACTTGGTCACACACTCACCCACTTGGCACCACACTCACACTTGGTCACACACTCACCCACTTGGCCCCACACTCACACTTGGTCACACACTCACCCACTTGGCCACACACCCAGACACACTGCCTCTCACACCCACACTCTAGGCCACACACCCACACAACTGGCCGCACACCCCGACACACTGCCTCTCACACCCACACAACTGGCCACACACCCCAACACACTGCCTCTCACACCCACACTCTAGGTCACACGTGTATAATGACTCACGCATCTGCACGCATGTTCACTCTTCCAGCTCAGATATTGTACGTCACACTGCACAAGCTCATACTACCACTAAGCTTTTGCAGTTCTTGTGGGACTATTTATGTAATATGTGTTGCAATGCACGAAAATGACTTATGTTGAAGCATCTTGCAGGACTTATTTTGTGCATTACTGGGGTCCTCATGCAGATGTTTAAGCTACACTTTACTGAGGAAGGAAATAGTTTTGTTTGAATTTATGTTTATGATAATGTTGATGGATGTTTTCATCATTAGCATGTAAGTGTTTTGGTTTATTGTCTTGTATGTGGTGAGGAATGGATGTAAACAATGTTTCTTTCAGACACTCTTTTGTTTCTTCTCCACTAGGAAAGATATTATGTACAGTTGTGGACAAAAAGTATTCAGCTTGGAGGGAGGTGGTGTGGGTGAGGACTTGGCATCATAGCATCAGAGTGGTGGTAAAAAAATCTCCTCGAACATTCAATTTTTACAGCATTTTTTGGGGGTTGTTTTGGTGTATTGAGTTGTTTACAGAGTAAGCTGTACCTGACTCATAATTAAATTTAAAAAAATCAGTTTGCAGTGTGAAAAGAATATTGCTGAATTATAACCGGTACCTGTATGAGATGGTGTCTAGTCTCCACCCACCCTAACCCTCCCCTACTCCACCTCCCTCTGGACCTTCCCTCCTTCCTTGTCGAATTCTTTATGTCCACAACTGTACATGTATTGTAGATGAGGGTAACGTTTACGACGATATCATTTATGTGACGGAGATTGTCGAAGGTTATGTGTGACACTGAGCTTCCCCAAACTAGGTGTCGGAGGAATATAATCGTCTGCAGACCATTGATAATAGGACTTCTTCCCCTGTGGTGGTAGTAAGTACTATGGTTTTAGTCATTATAATTTTCAGTGCATAGAATTAATTTATATTTTTGTTTGCTTGCTTTCAAAGGATGTCTTAGACTTGTTCCCATTCTCCCGCAGTCTCAAGATTGTAATGGTTTTGTCTCTTAGTTTTGGCCTCGTGAATTAAGAGACTCGTCATGGTGAGCTTCAGTAGTTCAGAATGATGGAGGTGTCTGGATTTAGGTGTGCCGTCAGCCAGTCAGGGATATTAAGGAATGGTCGTCTCATAGCTTCTGGTATAGACAGTGATATATTTTAAGAACTAGTTGGCAGCATGACCAGCAAAGGACTAGTGATTTAAGTTTTTTGTGTGTACAGTACAGTACAGTACATAGGTCAGTGATGCCACAGATGCTTATCTTTAATACTCTTTTATGGTATGGCATGGAGTGTATGTTTGCCAAATATATTCATCATGCAGCATATCATCTCGCATTGTATTGGTGTACAGTGCTACGTTGGGTTAAAGCATCCTGGTATTTGTAAAAATTAAAGTAATTTTAACTCAGACTACAAGAGAACAGGCAAATACTCTCCATAAAAACCCTTCAAACAAAATTGAGTTGGAAAAACCTTACATTATAAGCAAAGATATTTAGAAAATATGCATAAATGTGAATGCAAGTGAAGTACAGCACCAGTAGAGAGGAAATAAACTGGCCTACACACTAAGCTCCACCCACTTGTAGGAGACCTTTGTAGCTGTTACAATTCATAAAAGGTTAATTGGTTGCTAGTGAGTGAGTGAGTGAGTGAGTTGTGCTGCCAACTAGCAGTGAATTAGCCACTTTGGTGACCCTACTTCTTTGACAACCACTCAAGTTTGGTGAATTGTAAGAGTGATATTAGAAGTGGGCAGAGCGAAGTAGACAGGATACTTGACCAGATTCTATATGGTAGAAAGGTACAGTACAGTACAGTACAGTACAGTACTTGATTTCAAACTCATAGTTACAAAAACATCGTACATGTAGTACAGTACATAGTTACTTAATGCTGCACCCAAATTCCTGAATAAACTGCTGGTACAAATTAATGCCAAGGGAAAAGTTTGATATTTATTCCAGATTTGTTTGCATGTTTAAGACTTAAGTAACTAAAGAAAATAACAAAAGTAGAAAATTGTAAATGAAAAATAAAGTCATAAGTTTTGGTTGAATTCAATTAGTCTGAAGGGTAGTGAGTTCCCTGTCACTCACAGTGTAGCAACATATTGCATGGTAAGATTAACTAAATGTAACTTAGTATCTGAGTAAGTAAAAACCTCCATACAGTCTGATGCTGATGAGTAAAGCAAAATAAGTGAAAAAAATATTCTAGTTATCACAGTTATATAGTAATGTAATATTCAGGGATTTCTGACCTTGCTTTTACAGTTACCGCATGGGTTACTATGAGCCAATTCTTGTCCCCTAAAAATATGATCCAGTCAGTTTTAATGTCTTCGTGTAATAATATCAAGGTAAGAAAATGAAAAGAAGAATTAAATTATTCCTCGATGAGTACTAATATCTTTTTTGGACGATAAGATATTGGTTGTACCGCCTCTGCGTTCCTTATACTACGTTATGTAAACTCTTGCCTTAATTCTTGCAGCCATTGGCGTGTTCTGGTACTTGGAGTCCTGTGCCCTTAGTAAGTTTGAATTTATACTTGTGGAAACTGAGACAATATTCCACAGTTTTGTTTTACAGTCTCTAGCATGGCTTTAACATCAACTAATTTTGAAACTCTGCTGCTTGGAGACAATTATCCGTCATGCCAGATGGAAGAGTGAAGTTTTTGAGTTGGAGTGTATGGTATGTAGGCACAATAACCTATTGGTATTGGGTATAGGAGCATTGTCATCACTTTACTATTGGGTATAGAGGCATAATCATCACTTTAGTATTGGGTATAGAGGCATAGCCATCACTTTAGTATTGGGTATAGGGGCATAGTCATCACTTTAGTATTGGGTATAGGAGCATAGTCATCACTTTAGTATTGGGAATAGAGGCATAGTCATCACTTTAGTATTGGGTATAGAGGCATAGTCATCACTTTAGTATTGGGTATAGAGGCATAGTCATCACTTTAGTATTGGGTATAGGAGCATAGTCATCACTTTAGTATTGGGAATAGAGGCATAGTCATCACTTTAGTATTGGGTATAGAGGCATAGTCATCACTTTAGTATTGGGTATAGAGGCATAGTCATCACTTTAGTATTGGGTATAGAGGCATAGTCATCACTTTAGTATTGGGTATAGGGGCATAGTATCATGTTCAGATACATTCAGGAGCCAGTGCATGTCCAGTAGTTACCAGCAGTGCATAACAGAGACGTGACCGACCACCCAAGCGGCTAACAGGTCGATCCGTGGGGAAGAGGTTGAAAGTAAAATCAAAGCAAAAGTAAAAGTAGTGTATTGGGTTGAGAGGTAGTGTAGTATTACTAGTAATGGGGATGGAAGGATAGTTTGAGTTGTTATCATTCTTGTCTCATGGATGGTTTAAGCCCCATAGGAAAACTGAAGTGGCTGTCGTAGGGTCAAGGTTGATCAATGACTCGTGTGAAGGTCTGGAGTACTGTACTAACACCTTCCTGCACATGGAGACTATACTGTATGTCCCCATCAGTAGAAATCTGCCTAAGAGATGTTATCTTCATTTGTATAAGTAGCTCCTCCCCGACTTACGACGGGGTTAGGGACCCAAATCCAGGTCATAAGTCGAAAATGCTTAAATAATACATAGAAAATCTAAAATGGGTGTCTCTTTTTCTTCTCAGCACCACAAAACTCTCACCTTTTAGCTTGCCAGCCATTTTAAAGTGAATTACAAACGAAAATTTTGTCTGTGTACTGACGTTGGGACTCGAAAATACGCAATTTGACAAAATTTGGGTACGACTGAGGCAGGTCGTAGGTGCGGGTGGTCGTAAGTCGAGTAGGTCGTAAGTCGGGGAGGAGCTGTACTGTATTCACTTCTTTAATTTGTCTCTTGGTTTTTGGTTTAGATACATTCATACTTCACTTTTAATCTTATATGAACTATTTATGCTGCTGTGTCATATATTTGAAAAGCTGCCATGTTTTTGGTGTATGGCCGCTCACCAGGTGCTCACCTTTGTGCATCTCGTTCTTAATCTTGCCGCTTTATTTATTTACTTTTACTTTTTTTAATTTTTATAAATTGAATTTTTCCTGCATGCTTTTGTTTCCTTAAATAATGTCAAATCTTATGTCACTAGTTTATAATTTTTTTTATTAGATAGTCAGCACACATTCATTTATGACACTGCCTCTCCTCATCCTATTCACATGTAGTGATGTTCAGTATCATTCCCACTAATTTACGACTGTTTCCTGCTTCTCTCGTATCTTGACTCGTCATTTACTATTTGTCAATAATTTATTGCTTCATTAGTTTAATGTTACATTTAATAAATTGTTCTATCTATCTGCTGTTTGTGTACTTGTTTTGTTCTCATCAATTGGAATTGGTACATTGTGAGATGTAGTAACAGCAGTGACAAATGGATGACATATTGCAGGAACGTACACGCAGTGCCGACATAGCCACAGAACTCCTCCGCAGTGACGCCGGTGATGGGGCTGTTGCTGAGGGCCTGATCAGGGAGACTTCTCTTATCTGCCTTGCACCATCACCCTCCAAACAGGACAAAAAAGTCACTTTTGCCAAGCTCCTGGATAAGATGTCCAAGGAGATGAGTTCCTCCTCTTCAGATATGAGTTGCACCGAGGAAAAATCACCCAGTAGAATCTTCAGCTTTGGCGGTGTGCGCCGCTCCCCTAGAAGATCACCAAGGATAAGACACACCCAGCGGTAAGCCTTCACATTACAAACCAACGCTGATGATACAGTTTTTATGCCTGATATGATATGCCAAACTTTGCTGAAGCTAGCTGTAGTATGTGACTTCTTTGTGGGCGTCTGTATTCCTTACATAAATCTTGTCAACATGCGAGTCCATTTCCTTCGTGTGAACCCCAGTCACTGCCTGTGATCCTTGATGTCCACTCAGAAGTAATGATCCCTTGTTTGAGTCTTAACTCTCTGACTCGCCTCATCTCTAACTCATATTCTGATACCACTGAATTTTAACTTCTCATAAGCCCTGACCCCTACTGTGGGTCTTGCACCCTACATATGGGGTCTGACCCATACTTAAGAGTTTTGAAATTATATCACAGAAATCTGTCAAGGCAGATTATTAATAGTGACCTTTATTCTTCTAACTGTTGTTTTCCTTATAGATACAGTGGGTCTGGGAGTGAGGATGTCATGGAAACACCCGATGTGTCCTCGTCAGAAATGACACCAGACCCACCTAAGCGACTCCTGACGGTGAAGAGCTCGTCGTCCCCCTCCTCCAAGACGTCCTCCCCACAGAGCCGCACCAAGATGGTCAAGATATCATCTGCTGACTCACTTCTTGCTATGATTAAAAATTTTGGCAAGTTATCACAACTGTTGTGCTGAAAACTTTTGTACATACAGTATTTAAAAATTTTGATTTATTGATATTATCTGCACTGTACCTACTTAATACCTGTGCAGATGAGAGTGGATGACTAATGTGAGCAGTGCACTCTGCCATAGGTATACAGGGGCACTCTACTGTATGGAGGGTTGTTGTAGCTGTATGAAATGAACTGATGCCTAAGGGTTATGATAAATACTGTATACATCTAGCACTGTTACTGTTCATCCATTTATGTAACTGACACTAAACACTCTATTGTTATTAGAGGTTAATCAGTTTTCTTTAACACATGCAGGTGGATCTGGTCGCCCCTCTTCCTCCAACCCTTCCAGTCCTCACGGCTCAGAATATGATGATTCTTCCACCCATCCATCGCCCTCCACCACACCCACCACACCTCAGAAGGCACTGCCACAGAACAAGCAAGACACCCTCACTGTCCCTGGGGCATTACAGGTGCAGGTACTTGTTACCAGCTTCTTGTTATTAGATGATCTCTGTGTGTGGTGGTGCTGGGCCTCTCACCACTACCATCTAATGTCTTATAAGGGTGCAGGGCTTTCCTCCAGATACTCTAATGAAAGCTGTCTGGTTTTATATTTTTCTCTGTATTAAAGTTGCATGAACAAATTTACCCTATTTTAGCATGTTCCTTGACTTTCTCAATTATAGCTTCTTTATTTTCATATGAAATTTTAAAACTTTATATAAAAGAAAATAAATAAATAAAAATTAGTTTTTTTGTATATACACTTCTCTATATAACACCTCTGTTGTGACCAAGTGTTGCTTCTGTCTCTCTGTAGCTATACTGTAACTCTGTATACTGTATAACCTCATGACTATTTTCATACATCACCTGGAGGACAACCTGTATATTACCTCCATAACTACTGTACCTGTAAACAGAACACGGTGGTCTAAAGTACAGTACTGTATTCCCTCCACAAGTCATCCACTCCAGTAAATTATTTTTTTGGGTGGTTAACATTACCCATTCACTCTCAATTTATTTAGTACTGTTATGTTCTAAATTTGGAAACCGTTCTGTGTCTTGACAGTTTTACTCCCTGTTGTTTTTCTGTGGATTTATTTCTTAATTTTTCTATTTGTCAAACCTTTCTCTGTAGAGGGCAGTGAGATGGAAGACCTGGGCAGATTATTTGCTCCCTCATTGTCATTCCTTCTCTCTATATTGCTCACCGAACATGTTTTGCGTTGGTATTCCCTGTAACTCATAAAGTAAGTCATAACCAATGGAAAACTGTATTTAAAGTAATGCCTCTTACAATTGGTAATATGTTATACATTTTTTCTCTATTTCCAGATGTTAGTGTGTGACGGAGAACCTTTTTATTTATTTTCTGTATAAATGCACTACAGTATAGTCTTGATTTATGCGGATTTGGTTTACGCGTTTGGTCATTTACGCGGTACCTTGCCAGACCGACAATTTTTATTTACTCGGTTCATTCCATCATTTACACGGGAAGCAGCGCGGGCAGGGTGCGCACAAGGTCACCCAGTCAACAAAACATTACCGAGTTCTTCACCCGCCACCCACCACAGCCAGCCCAAGTCAGTGATAGTGAGCATTTGGACTTTGAGGGGTTTGACAAAGAGGCCCTGCAAGTCTCTGTGGTGGATAGTGATACAGGTGTTACAAGTGATACAGGTGAGGGCCAATAATCTGCCCTCTACCTCAGAACCAACCCCAATCCCTGTGTACCCAGCCATCTTTTCTACTAAGTAAGTGTTAAAAAACCTAATATTGATATTTCTTTTAAATATTAATTGTGTGTGCATACCATCATAAAAGTAAGATCTTATTTTTACTACAACGTATGTAATGTATTGTGTCTGGGTGGAGTATAATTTGTTTATTTACTGAAGATATTTGTTTTTTGCTCATAAAATTCATAGAAATTACCCGGCCAGAATATAATTTACATTGCTGGAATTCTTATAAGATGGTGATTAATTTGAATATAAACATGCTAAAATTTGCATTAGACATACAAATTTTAGATCTAATTTAAGAATTTTATTAGAGAGAGCAAAAATTTTATCTTTTGTGCAAAATATATGAAGTTTATATTCAAATTATTTGCAGTCTTGCAAGGAATCCAGCAATGTCAATTATATTATTCTAACCATGGGCTGAGGTATTATTTATTACTAAAATAAAAACCTAGTCTTTTCTCCCAAACATTTCTCAGGGAGGGAGGAGAGCCAGCGAGTGTGGGAAGGGGGGGGGGTGGAGTTGAGTCCATTATTTGAATGGACATTAACCGGTGACTGTATTTCTCTTAAACATTAATTGTGTGTGCATACCATCATAAAATTAAAATTTTATTTTTACTACAACGTACGTATTGTCCGAAAAAGTGTAAAGTGTAGTTTGGGGGCGGCCCAGTCTCTATTTCAATTAATCCCATATGTTCTGTTATTTCGTTTACGCGTTTCTTGGTTTACTAGGACCTCCACGGGTTCAATTGATCGCGTAAATCGAGACTATACTGTATTGTATACTGACTGCAAAGCTAGTGAAAATAATTACAAGAATTACTTTTATTTTTGTTTTGGAAGTTTCTGCCCGTTCTAAAAAATTCTGTCTTGTTTAATGTATGTGAAAGGTTGATGCGATGTAGAGTACAATACTGTGTATATTAGTAGACTAAGCACATGAGTTTACAGGTACAGTCTGCGGGTGGGACAACACAACACTCTGGGCCAGTCATCACCTTGGAAGTGCCCACCAGTGACCAGCACCGCTGCCTCTCGCCCATCACAGAGCTGCCCACACCAGTGCCCACGCCTGTTCCCTCACCCCTTCCCACACCTTGCAGATACCGACCTAAGCCACGCACCAGTTCAGAATCCAATGACAACAAAGATAGTGAAGATACTGAATCAGAATTTTCATTATCCATATCTGTGGAACGCAGTAGTTCGGACAGCTCTGGTCCAGATCACCGTGTCTTTTTCACTTCCTTGAAGAACATGCACAGTCTTACCTATGCCAGTGCTAGGTCAGGAACGCTGTCACCCACAGGAGCCACTGTCACGCCCTCCTCATCACTCTCGTCCAGGACGCCTTCTCCAGTCACATCACCCAATATTTCACCAGCAACTTCACCTAAAATTAAAACAAAACCTCCACCTTTACATATTCCAAATGCTAATTTACTTCAGTTCAGCCCTGAAAAAGGTGAATGTTCATCAGTTGGTGCATGTGGGGGCCTCAGTATACCTGTCCCAGTGATCAAGGTTGAGGATACTGATGAGGTACGATGGGATTCTGCACCACGGATGCGCTCACAAAGTGTTGATGTGGGGAGAGTCATGCAAGCTCCACTCATTACTATCTCTTCTGCAGATGATGACCCTCAGCCACCACCATCATCACAGCCACAACCCATAGTAATACCAACTCTTAATGTGACATTAGCCTCACCTCCTGCACTGAAGAAGCAGTTTCCACCTGTGCCTACAATCAGTATTGAAGCACCCGAATCTCCCAAGCCCCCCGTTCCTCCTCCAAGACGACATCCACTACAACGAGAGAAGGCCGGGTCACTGGATTTACAACCAGCTCCTGCCATTACAATCACCAGCATGCTCAGTGAAGTTGAGTCTGACACAGACTCTCCAACGAGTGGTTGCCGGCGAGGGGGACCTCCTTCCTGTTACCTTAGTCCTTTTCTAGGGGTTGACCTCAGAGCCTCTGAATCTAATCTTAGCTCTTCAGGGTATAGTTCTGCTTATTCTCCAGGGCCCTCAAGGTGTTCCTCCAACAATCCATTGTGTCCAGAAGAACCATCAACTCCCTCTGTGTCGTCAATACCTTCCCGGCCCATACAGATCCCCATCCCTCAACCTGCTGCTCCATCTCCAAACAGAACTAAGCGCCGACCTCTGCTTAAATCACCGCCCACAGAAATTGTCCCCTTATCTACTCCCTCCCCTCTACTACAAACTGACTCTGAAACCACAGATGACCCCGCTGCCTCCCAACCAGAAGCTGATTCGGCTCTGGAGTTGGACACTAATGATGAGTGTAGTGATGGTGTAATGCAGGGAATTGAAGCACAAAAACCTGGAATTGTAGATGAGGCAGAGGCCCAGCGACAGAGGCTGTTGCTCTCCTCTAGCCATTCCTTTCCCAAAGAGTCTCCCCGCCTAGCAAGGTCTCCACCAGCTATTGTGGTTCATTCCTCGTTGCACAGTGAATCGTCTTTAGAGGACTGTTTGACTGAAAAACCTGCTCGACTGAGTCCAGTCAGTTCCCGTAGTGAATCTCCCATCAGTGACTCCCGTCTTAGTGTAGCAAGAATATATCCAGCCTTTTTTGGTGTTAGTGGGAAGCCTGAGTTACCTTACACTGACTCAGATGGACTCTATGACTGCCCATCATCAGAAGTCCTTCACTCAGATTCCCATCCGTCTACTTCTACTCTCAAACGTCTAGGTCGCAAACGATTAAAGCGATCCTCAGGGAAGGGACTTAAGTCTTTGCTAGGCTTGGGAGGTATTGGACCCAATGAGGGAGTGTGTGGAGGTGGAGTTGCCGGGCAGAGTGAAGCAGTGAAGAGCCGCCTGGAGCCGCCTCACTGGGACAGGTCACCACGCCGTCATTCACCCAAGCGACGTGTCAGAGCACAGACGAGTGTTGATCTTCTGACGTCATCAAATGAGAGCATCACTTCACAAAGGTATGTTGCAACCACACCAGCGTACTTGTCTACACTCAAAAGCATGATGGTACCTTAAATAATTCTCTGATGCACAGTTACTTTTTATGCAACTATTACAGTGTACAGTACTATAGCTACTACTGGGATATCAAGAGTACCCCTGCAGCTATAAGTGTAAAACATTAAAACTTGCTATTCTGAATTGAGTGAGTGTGTCTCGTGTCTAAGATTATTAATCAGCCAACAAAAGGCTTCAGCTTTGCATTCTACTTGTGCATGGGCCTTTTATTTTGTCTTATTATAAGCTTGAATTAAATGTTTTTTATTTCACACATTATCAAATGACTTTATGTATGAAGTCATATAAAATTATGAACAGTAAACAAGCAAGAATTACATATCTTTTTAAAGGGAAATTTTATAATAAATCTCTCAAAGTTTGTTCTCTAAGCCTGTGCCCCTTACAGTACATACGCCCATTATTATAGTTATCGTATACAAAGGTCCGGCTGTATCTCCATTTTCTAAAATTCCAAAGAAGCACTTGGCTGTAATTCTTGTGTGTCTTACCTCTCACTAAGTAACATTAGCTTCTCATCTGTCTCTATGGTGCCCAGATTTGAGTTTTTTTAGAACTACAGGTTGTGCCTCTCTAGTCCGGCATTCTGTGGTCCAGAAATTCCCGTGGTCCGGAATGATTTTAGTTTGCCCAATAGCCGCTACGCAGTGTTGGCGGAGTGGCGGTTGGAAATTAAAGTTTGTTTACATCCGGCAGTTCGGCTCTCTCTCTCTGTTTGTCTCTTACGTACTTTTTACTTTTATCCTCTTCGCCACTGATCGGCTTGTTAGCCGCTTGGGCGATCGGTCACGTCTCTGATTACTTTTCCTTTTCAGTTATCTTCTTCACCAAAAGATCGGCTCGCTAGCCGCCCGGGCGATCGGTCACGTCTCTGTCACACACTGTTGGCAAATACTGGGCATGCACCGGCTCCTGAATGTACCTGAACCCGCTCCAGTGTTGGTCAAGTCTTGTCTTGAAAGAGCTCACACTCGGTGCCGTCACAGCACTTTCTGGTAGATTGTTCCAAGAGTTTACAACCCTCACTCCGAAAATGTTTGCCCTCACGGTTTTCTGGACTTGCGACTTCTTCACTCTTGAGCTGTGACCCCTTGTGGGTCTTCAAAGAGACCACGAAGCAGTGAAAGTGGTGCTAGTGCTTCCAAGTGTAAGCACAAGTCACCATCTATCCAGGAAAAGGTTGAACTAGGGTATTGTAGAAATTAGATAAAGGTGCATCGGTACGGAGCTTGTGTTAGAAGTATTACTTTTTCTTATTTATTTATTTCCTGTCTTATGTTTTTATGCTTTATGTAGGGTGTTTCAAGGGTGAATTTCCATGGTCCGGAAATTTCCATGGGCCGGCACCGGTCAGGTCCCGAGGTTGCCGGACTAGAGAGGTACAACCTGTACTGTATATCAACTCTTTGTTTACTTAAGCATGGCCTTATTTAATCCCCTCTCACCTTGTGACATCACCGCTCTCTGGACCAATCAGAACTCTTCGTGCAGCCACTTGAGCCTTCAGTACTACAGCCAAAAATACTCTGTAAGTTTGTGTTGTCATAGAATAGTGATAAGTTTATTTGTTTGAGCATTTTTATTTTTTTATTTTTAGTGCAGTGTTAGTTTTGCATTTTCTTCAGAGGTATTTTTTTGTGTGGTGATTTTTTTTTTTTTTTTTACATTAGATATAGTGTTGGTGTTTAGTGCAGCAGTCACTAGTAATAACAAGGACTGGGTGAATCATGCTTGAGTGTGAGCCACTACTTCTGGACAGTGTCACTTGATCAACATCACGACACCATTGCTACCGGAATCTCATTATCAAATAATTTTAATATTTTTCAGAATCTTCTGTTGTCTTGGACAAAGGAGAATATAAGATGAAATACATACAGTAATAAGAAAATTATGAATTATATATGTTGTTATGTTAGTCACTCCATTTTATTAAAACTCATTTTTTAAGAGTTTTGGTTTCTATAGTGAAGTTACACACACACACATTTTTATTCTAGTTGTGTAAGTTCTCTGTTTTCATGGTTCAGATAGTATACATAACTACAGGACACACACACACCAATAATGGAACTTAATTTTGCAGCATAATCACTGTTAGGGAGTACAGTACTGAACATTAGAAATTAGTTTAATATACTGTAACATAGCATGTGAAGTGTAACCTGGGTGTTATGGCAGAGGCCTTTGATGACCACCCACACCCAACATAATGGCAACAGTATCTGCACTGGCTGCCACAGTGTGCAGAATATACAGTTGCATAATGGGAGATTGAGAAACCTGTCATTGTAGCCCAGTGGGCAGCAGCTCCAGCCCAGGCGAAAATGGAGAGACTCCGTTACATGAGGGTGAGCGTGGACGTGATGGCAGCTTTGTGGTGGGCCGTGGGGGCCGCCGCAGACGGCCGCTTCTCAGAGGGGAGTCTATTCCCTCCAAGTACTTGACCCGACAAGGCTCCATGGATGCTTCTGGCGAGGAAACTCAGGAGGTTAGTGCAGCCTGAGTGTAAGACTGTGCTGGGTGCAGCATACAGTGGCAGTGTTTCACCACACCCCTGAAATACTTGTACTTTACAATCATTCACTTGCATGAAATAATGTACAGTAAACATTCGAACACTCATTCAATGTTGTACAGCATTTTATCTATTTTACTACCATAAACCATGTGATGTCATTTTTGTGGTGTCTTGGAAATGACTGTCACTAAATTCTTTGTTTTCTTACACTTAACAGTCAATGCTCATGTTTTCAGTATATGAAGAATAAAAACCTAAAAGACAGTTGCACACATTGACTCTAAGGTATATTGAGTTTTTTTTAGTATGAATGTGTTACTGATGGTCTATGCAAGGTTGTGTGAAGCCACAAGTGTAAACTAGCTGGGTATTTGAGGGTCTTGTTGTAGCAGGATGTATAAAAGCACCATTCATGTGTTCCAGAATAGAGAATGAATGAATAACAGTGAATTAAGAGGAGTCAGTGTTGGTGTAGCAAATTTTTTCTCCGCACACTTATTAATTAATTTGTTTACTGGGAAGATAGTGGCATACCACCTCCTCTTCTACAATATCACTTTTCTCCTGCAGTACTTTCAGATACTTGGCTTATTGTAGGTTTGTGAATCTCTAATGAAGTTCTAAGAAGATTTTAGCCATTTGATTTTTGTTATGTTGATAATGATTTTTACTTATTTTACAATGGCGTGTACAATTATCACTCCATAATTGACTGAAAATGTTAGTGGGTCAACTCCTGTGTGAATGCCAAGGATGATACCGAGGATGGTGATAGTCAGCTGGGTGATGGGAATGTTAATCATCCCGATCAAGACTCTGTCATCCTTGGCATTTATACAGAAATTTACCCATTAACATTTTCAGTTAATTATGTAGTAATAATTATACACTCGTGTAAAATAAGTAAAAATCATTATCATAAGATAAGTAAAATTAAGACAAATCATATACTGTGGACACAACACCACTCCCTCCATGTTAGTGACATTGTGTGTACTGCCTCACAGTTCACCTCTTGTTAAAAAAAAAAAAGATCAGTGAGAATACAGCATAATGTTGTTTGTGTGTACCTGTACAAATATTACAATTAGTAAATGAATTGCCACAGGATATATCAAATAACAGATAATGGCACTCATGCTCAGTTGCCTCAAGCACCACTGGCCATGTTACCGAGGACTAGAGACATTTAAATGCTGTACAGGACCTTTAAAATCATTAACACATCAACAATTTATTTATTTACTCACTTTTTCATGTCATTAGACTTAAAGGGATATTATTTTTTTAAATCTTATCAGTTTTCTTAAAGCGGCTCACAGACCGATCAGTAGCAAAGAGGATAAAATATTTAATGGTGAAGGGTTTATGAAAATAGCTTAATGACAACTACTGGTACTGGCAGAGAGAACCAGTTAGTAGAAAACATAGGGCAGGGTACAGTACAGTGATTATACAAACAGATGCTGAATGACCTGTTTACCTAGTGCAAAAAATACAAGTAAAAATGTTCAGAAGACAGTTAGTCTCCCTGGTGGGTAGTGAGGTAACAAGACCTCTGGTGACATGAGTATTGTGGTATGATGAGGTGAGGGAGAGGAAGAATACTGTACTGTACAAGGAAACTGTGTTTACATATGTCAACTTTGAGATCCTGAGACACTCCATCTCCTCAAAGTGAATTCCAGTGAGTTTATTCTTAGAAACAGCTTACAATTATTATTATTTGATACAAAAGAGCAAGATACAATAAGGTACTGTTGTGTGGCTTTAATCATTCAAAATGCCTCTATCCTGCAATCTTTATTTGTACAAAACACTAAAACAGTTAAATAACATCAACTTTTGCTTTTGAGACAAAAATTGATACCCTGTACAGGTACAGTACAGTAAAAATTTCAAATAGTTTTAGAAATTAAGCGTTTGGATATCTTTTATCCTCTTCACCACTGATCGGCTCGTTAGCTGCTTGGGCGATCGGTCATGTCTCTGTTACGCACTGTTGGCAAGTACTGTACTGTACATGGTTGTAATTTGTTGATTTTATTATTGATTGACTAAACAAAAACTTCCATATCCTAAATCTCTTTTGTAAATGTCTGTTTATTTAAGATATTTTCTTAATTTACCTTTGCAGTGCTTGAAGTTAGTTATTGAGTTCTCAGAATTGTTTTAAATGGATATTTAGTGAAAGCCTTTTTAGGAATATTGTAGTTGTACTTCAAGGGGTTTTTAATACCATATTTTTGCAATTAAATGCCAGGTAGTGACGTGTCCTCCTAATATTACGTATTATGTAATTATTAGATGTTTTAATTGCCTGTATGTTTGTCTGGCGAGTTATTGCTAGGCATTAACATTCCTAGGTATAAAGCTAGGCGTCGCATTCTGGACTATAGCACAAAACTGTTTTTTAGAAAAAAATGGCTTTTTCTCCTCTGTTTTATAAATTGGTAATTAGCAATTCAATTTTTTGTCAGTATAGGCAGTGTTGCTCCTCAGGTGGTAATTGTCAACAAGCTCTTGTGTAAGACCACACTTATTTGAACATTGTATGTGTATATTCACCGTGTGCATCATGAGTGTTACTCCAAGTGTATATAAATAAAGACTTAGCCTAATGTACCATAAGGTAAGGAGCCATGTGGTAGATAGTGTACAGACCATCAGGTCAGTTGGCCAGCTGTAAAGGTAAGTATGTGCAGATGTAGCTGTACCCTGTTCTGCAAATGTCTTGACAGCTCAAGCATGACTCTAAAAGTTGTGGAAAGAAGATGATCTTTGACAAAGTTTATTTATCCATGTACTACAGCTTTTCTTGTATCTTGTCTGTTATTTATGGTGCTGTCATATCCCAGATTTGTTCATTAACTTTTATGATCAAAGTGAACATACCCGATCTTTGATTAATTACGCATGTTCAGTGTACAACAGTGTGAGTGACTCATCCTGTTGCCTTCTCCTGTGTCTAACATGGTTATGTTTCAGAGTGTCTCAAAATATTGCTTCATGCTAGTAAACATTTATCACTGACTAACTAACTTTATCATGAGATTACAGTACCTGTACCCAGTGTTGATACTACTGTACTGTACTGTACTTATAATGTGCGTGTCTCTTAACATGTGAATGAAACATTAAAAAATTGGTGACAGTTTTTCTAGTTCTGTAAATGATTGATACTTGGCCAGACAGATGTATGAGGGATGCAGTGGCTAGTTGAGGGGTCAGGTGGGCTGCTGCTCATGGGTAAAAGCCTGCTAAGTCATGGTTCAAGTCTCAATAAAGATGTGTGTTGTGCGTGTGTAAAACCTAAACTTGTTGAGATATTACAAGCCACTCTGTATTTTCTTTTATAAATTTAATCATATATAATTGAGGTTAAAAAATTTCAGGAGCAACTGATGCTGAGGCCATCCAGAGGGCCAGAGGAGCTTCCTCGACACCGTAAAGTTTCTCGCTTTAGAAACTTTGGTAACCAGATCCGGTAAGTTTCCTTACCTTCTCTCACCCTCACTAACCCTCCCTCCAGCTGTTACACTGACTCTACACCCAGCTCTGTTACACTGACTCTACACCCAGCTCTGTTACACTGACTCTACACCCAGCTCTGTTACGCTGACTCTACACCCAGCTCTGTTACACTGACTCTACACCCAGCTCTGTTACACTGACTCTACACCCAGCTCTGTTACACTGACTCTACACCCAGCTCTGTTACGCTGACTCTACACCCAGCTCTGTTACGCTGACTCTACACCCAGCTCTGTTACGCTGACTCTACACCCAGCTCTGTTACACTGACTCTACCTACAGTAGCTTGTTCTTGTTCTCCATTTATACTTATAATCTACTGAGAATATTTTTTAAAACTTACTCTGGATATCTTTATATTTACTGGGTGTCTAATTTCTACTGTTAAACATTTCTCATTCAGATACTGTTCTGCATGCTTATTTCTTATCCATTTTGCATATACAGGTATTAATCATTGTTTAAAAATGGCATCACAGAGGAGGTTGATGGACTATGCAGGATATCTGATTGTATTTTTAAAAGTATTCTGTTGAAAGTTTAATTCTCCTAATTATGTGTACTGTACTGTAAGTGATTTAAGACGCTATCCGAATGTGTACTGCGATACAGTAATACTGTGTTTGAAAAATATGAGTAAGATTTGATTTGTATATTACTGTAGAGATGTGAAGATAGTTAAATAAATAATGTAAATTGAGAGAAACTGTTAATTGCTTCCAGGATTACTACATGTTTAAACGCACACTGCAGGCAGCATCCACACGTTCCTCATGGATGGCTCGGATATCCTGTTTTCTGGTTCATCTACGTCAATAAAAGAAATGAGATACAGTATATCAGAGTGAACCAAGTTAAAGATTTATATTAAGATTTAGAACAACATTAATGTGCCTTGGAGATTATGGCATACATGCCAGAATTATTAACATTACTGTACATTGGTATTTTACTGTAGGTTCTATATTGCTTAGGCCTTAGGGTGTGACCAAACTCCAGGGTTAAGAAATTTGGTATGGTTACATTCATTTAATTATATGATGTAGGTTATTATGATAATAATGATGTTGAACCATCTCTTCCTTGTTCCCTGACCAACCTCTAGATTCTTAAAGGCTTTTATGATGAAAATTCCTGGTACTTGAAGCTGTAAGAATGTAGCTAGCTGACTGACTTAAAATACTGCTCAGAAATAACTCCCCAAAATAGAATCAGTATTTTACTGTGTATTTTCTTTTACTGGGAAACATTCACTTAGCACATGTTAAAAGACAGATATATAACATGTGTTCAGTTGAGTATGAATCTCTTGTTATTTAGATCACATTCTCATGTTGTAGCAAACAGTACGTCAATAAGTTAACAAAATTTTTACATCTCTATTTAGGAGGAATAATCTTTGTAAGATCCTCTGAGAATCTGGACCCTGCTGTTCCATAACCCATACATGTGGGAGTGAGTCCCCCCTCCCCTCCTCCCCGCTTATCTGTCCTGTGAAACCTGGAGTTACGTTTATTACAAAGATTCAAAACACAGATGGTTTATATTCCATAGGTATATTCTTCCTTCTCACAGCTAATAGCTCTATTTGCCATTGCATGCATCACTGCACAATATCTTATTGTTTTCTATATTTTTTGGTCATGGTTTATTGTTGATTACATATACTCTACTAGTTATTTCAGAAGTGTAACAATTTGTATGTCAGATTGTTGCCCCCATTCTCTTCTTAGTATTTCTGCACGATATCACTCCCACACCAACTTACTTTCACTGATTGCATTCTCTCTTTCCTTTCTGTCATCTTGCCGTGTCGGGCAGAAAGAAGCACAACGCCCGCCTAAAGATTTCCTCCCACGCCCACCCTGCCCATGATGGGACTTGGTTGTGAGAAACTTGTTCTCATGATAGTCAGGTTGGCCAATCCCACATTGTTGCAGTATCCCGTTACCATTATTATGTATCGTTTTCTCTGGTAGTGATCGTAAGCCAGGTGTGTAAAACACTTCCTGTAGATATAAATATCGTTCAACTCACCTATCGTTAAATGATCGCATTGCTTTATACAGTAGAACCTAGGTATCTGCTGTTAAAAATTAGTGCACTTTGTACATACTGCACAGGACCTCTGCGCTGATGTAATACTTAAAAGCACCTAAAATAGAACCAGAGCTACATGGCAATGCTTTTATTGTGTTATAATAAATCCTGCTGCTTGTTGCGTCCCTTGTCTCTTGTTGCGTCCGCTGTACCCACGTCAGGTGCCAGCTTTAGCCAGATAGCTCTGCGTGAACAGTTGTGTGTACTGTATATCCCTGTACTAATTATCCTATAACAGAAACAAAGGTATTGCATGGTCTTTCTCATAATGGTTACTAACACCTCTTGGAGCCCATCTTTCTATTTCTCACGATCATGTGGTCGGTGCACAGCATCTTACAACTTGGTTGGTCATCTCATCATTTCTGGTCTTCATAACTGGCAAATGTTTTCAGACAGGTTTGTTGGTTGATGGTTCTGATGCCTGTACCTAAGATAATGAACCTAATATTATGAATAGTTTAACATTTATCTTACCTTAAGTATTAAACAACAAAATGAAAATTATTGCAGGTAAACAATATAGTGTATACCTGTATTGATAAACTGTATACAGAACAGTACTGTACAGTATTTGCAAATACCCTGTGTGTGTGTGTGTATATATATATATATATATATATATATATATATATATATATATATATATATATATATATATATATATATATATATATATATATATATATATATATATATATATATATATATATATATATATATATATATATATATATATACAGTGGGGTATGCTATAATGAATCTAATTGGTTCTAGAACCTTGTTCGTAATAGCATTCGTTCGTTATAGGATTAATCCGTTCCAGGCCCCCAAATACAACCACTTAACACTGAAAAATACAATATAAAATTGTAAAATTTGTAAAAAAGTGCATAAATATGCATCTAAACCCCTGAAATAAAGAATATCATTAATACTTGTAATAAAAAAACAATAAATTAGTAAAAAAAAAATTAAATAAATAATGTTCGTTGTAGGAGTTTCGTTCGTTATAGCATTCTCAATTTTATAGGTAAAACTGTTTGTTATAGGAATATTCATAGTAGGATCCATTCGTTATAGCATACCCCACTGTATATATATATATATATATATATATATATATATATATATATATATATATATATATATATATATATATATATATATATATATATATATATATATATATATATATATATATATATATATATATATATATATATATATATATATATATATATATATATTATTGTTGAGTGTTACAAAAGTATTCCTGGAAACATACACCATCCATTAATAAAATAGGTTTCAACAGGTCAAGGACTAGGGATGAATTTACATTTGAGTACAGTATGTTCTTTCAAGCTGAGAATCTTGAGTGCTGGTCAGTATGGAAGTGACACCTGGGCCATGAGTGAGCCATGTGATGCTGCAATGAAAAGAAAGGTAAATTTTTACTTGCTCATTGAAAATCTGATGCATTATGGTACAGTAGCGTTGGTCTGTCATGGTGGATGTTTGCAAACATTTCATCATCTGTTTCAATTTCTCCAGTTAATCTGAATGAAATGGAAGTGGTTTTCTGCCTTTCAAAGCCTCCACATTAACTTCACAAAACATTTGATTCCTATTTTCTCACTCTGATATGAAGGAGAAAATGCTTGTGGGAGTTTTTTGTTGTTTTTACAGGATGACATTCCTGTGGTTTCCAATATTAAAAATTAGAGGTCAGCTGGTCTTTCCTTGTGAGAATTCATTTAAAATGTGTCTCATTTTACGGCTGAAACTTTCAGGTTCTATCACTATAAAGTATTTCAGTGGAATGTTGAATGGTTTAGCTGTCCTGGAGTAGAGATTAGATGAATCAGTCTTTCTCTCAGATTAGTTCTCCATGAATGTTCTCTGGTGAATTAGTTGATAATAAAGGCAAACTCTGGGTCTGTGTTTTCTCTGTCTCACACCAGCGTACACAACAAGTGGATGAATTCTCCACAGATTGGGACCATTGGTATTAGATATCATTTCCTCACATGTTCAGAATACTGTACTTAAGGCCATAAAGAAGAGGTAGCTCCTCTATTACCTTGCATGGCTGCTTTGCTTGCCTCAACTTTGGAGAAAAAAAATTTCTTTTTCTTATGTACTGGAGACTAGCCGATAGGCTGTGTTTTCTCTGATCCTAAATTAATTAAACTTAATTTCTGGATTTGTAAAGTCATTTAGTTTCCTTAGATTCTAAATGGGTGTAGGTTAGTTTACAGTGTTCGTTGTAAGTTCTTATTTTTCTTACTATCCTGTGCAGTGTGTCCTGCATCTGACTTCATGACTTAGCGGATGTTTGTGGTGACATTAAAAGGTGATAGTGGTTGTTAGGTAGTTGGGTGTAGCTATGGTTATGGTGTTTGTATTAGTGATCGTAGGAGCTGCACTGTACATGATGGCGGTGGTGACACTTATTGACTCCTAAATTAAGTTTCATTTACAAGTTGGTAGGTGAATAGCGACTAAGAAAATATTAAATTACCCCCAAAATTATTTCTATATGAAAACAAGACTAAGGATACAATTGTGACAAGTGTGGCATAACATGATGATCTACTAGTGCAGTCTACATTACATTCTGTCCCTTTCACGGCTGTGTCACTCAGTAAGTTAAATTTTACAGGAATGCTCGCATGTGTCTGTGTAGTTTATATTAGATCAAATTAATGGCAATAACTCACCAAATGCAAGTGAAATAGAATGGCACACTCTGCAGATAAGCATGTATTGACACTGTTGGTCACAATTTATATAGAATGACTACTGTGTCTAGATGTGGCATAGCTAATAATATATGCGTGGCATGTACAGTAATGCTTGTTCATTGTAAATTTTTTAAAGACTTTTTGTGAGTAATATTTTGAAGAAAAAAAGATCAATAACTTTATGATGTACAGTATAAATTTGTCACTGTTTATGGTAGTATTACTGAATAGTATATTAAAATTTTCTGATAGGTTAAGTTTTAGAAGAATTTTCTGATGTCACTAGTGTACTTTGAAAGGAAATTAAAATATATAATGATTAGTTCATTGAAAAGTTGCTTAAATAATATAGTGCATCTGTAATTACTTGTGTGTTTGATGATGATGACTCTTGGGTGCTGCTTCCACCTTACACTGTGTTGTATGTGTACTGTATGTGTGCATTTGTCATCCACTGAAAACAAATACATTACAGTACTTCGAGTTTGTGATGATGATGTTGACGTAGTACTTTGTTATGTTTTATCTGACCTTTATATAATGTGGAAAGTTTTGTAATTATAATTGTTCCAAGTAAAACTGACCTCAGATAAGATATGACCCTGTTATTTTAAGTAGAGTAGGACTACATGCACTCTGAACATAAGCTAATCATTGGTTAATCTCTGAAACTCTTATATGTGTTTATCTTTATCCAGAAGAATATGTTCTCTGTGTAATATGAGCAACTTATATTTTGTGTGTCATGTTAGCATCACCTCCCTCATGTGTCACACCAGTTATGCCTTGCACCACTGTAGCTGCGCCCATCCTACCCACCCTTCCCCTACCTCCCTCCTTCTCTCTATTCCAGGGCTGCTGAAGTCTGGGTGTCTCATTGCAGGTTCCTCCGGCGCCTGCAGCTCTCTCGGGGCGCTAAGGATCACCTAGTTTCGCCGGCGGGGAGTTCAGACTCTGACCCGGAGGCGCCTCTCATGGGCCTCCTTGCACGGACCATCGAACAAGAGCAGTGGTAGCGGCAGCAGCAAAGGTAGTAGAAGCCCCAGCAACCAAGTCAAGTATATGCCTGTCAGTGGTGGCTGTGTTACCTCACAGTCTTTGTCACCATGATCTGAAGGAGTCATGGGCCCAGCCACTCTACAGTATGTGTCACTGTTTTATGGAGAGAGTACTGTAATCTCCTTAGTGACTTCCTCAAGTGATAATATCCCACCAAGTGACCTTCTACATTGATATTGGTTCTGCAGTTGTGGTCAATGAATCTGAATTTTTTGTCAATAAATACGTTTTATAAGTGTATACTGTACCTGTCACAAGACTGCTATAGTTAATCATCGTTCATTCAGTGATATTACTGGGACTTTAAGCCCCCTAGAGACACAAAGATATAATTGTGGTATTTTCTGTTTAAGATATCTCAATACATTGTATTTTTATCATATACAATGAAATAACATTTCAATGTCTAAATATGTTGAATATGTTATCTAAGAATGGGCATGTAGGTAGGAATATTATTTAACAGGGGATGAGGCCATTGTCTGTGATTCCTTTATTACTACAGCAAATGATTTTTTCTTCAATATTTAATGGGAAGTCATTTATGAGTTTGCTGTGCAGTGATGTCGTTTTATATTTCCCTGTACTGTACTGTATATGATACTGTTTTAATGAAATACATCACCTTTATTGATTTTTTCCAGACCAAGTACCAGTTTGTGTATGGCTAACAACTGGTGCTTTATCTTCAAATAGTATCTAATTATGGTACAGTATATGTTTTTAATTGATTTTTCTACAAATTATTGCCCAAAGGGTATCTCAGGTTTTATTTGGTTCGAAAATGATGTAAGATCAACAATGAAGATGAACTGTATTGAAAATGACAAGAGAGTTCCTGTTCACCAGTTCACTTACAAGCAGCCCTATTCAAGTACTGTGTCCCAGTCTGTTCTTTAAGCACTCATATTACTTGTACAATAGTTTCATAAGCACCACTAATCCTTAAGTAAGAGTTTCATAAGCACCACTGATCCTTAAGTAAGAGTTTCATAAGCACCACTGATCCTTAAGTAAGAGTTTCATAAGCACCACTGATCCTTAAGTAAGAGTTTCATAAGCACCACTGATCCTTAAGTAAGAGTTTCATAAGCACCACTGATCCTTAAGTAAATTTCATAAGCACCACTGATCCTTAAGTAAGCACTGCCTTCTAAGTATCATTCTTCCCCACTTTACACTGTATCATCTCTCTATAATCATTATCCTATTAATTTATTATACCTGTTCTGTAATTACCATCATTATTTTAAGTGGGAGTTACTTTATGTTATCTTCTTCATATTTACTGTGAATTAACTACTTTTATTACTTCTCTAATTTAATTATAATTTGACTTTAATTCCCATTAACCTTGTAAGTGATGTGCTATGCAATCTGTTGAGCAACTTAGTAGAAATCTTTAGTTTTCAACTGAATTTGGTTTGAGTTTTTTAAACATATCCAGTTTAATACAATGAAAATTTAGATATACTGTTCTGTACTGTACATGACTGGAGCATTTGTCCAGCATCATCATTAGTGACAGAAGTAATAATTCTAGCACAGTAGTTCTGCCCAGTGTTGCAGCAGCACTTTATATCAGATTGAGTATGACCCAGCAACTTCATGGAAATGCACCATATTTTGATGAAGGAGAAAGACCATTATACAGTAAAACCTGGATGGCTTTACTCTCGGAATTTATTTAAAAATAACTTGGAAAAAACGAGTTCCATAAAATAATCTCGGAAAATCCTGGAATACCGTATCTAATATACACTTATCTCCCCCGTATTTGCTAATTCACTTACTCACAAAAAAATATTAGTGACCCTCTATTCACTATTCATGATTTAAATTCAGCTATCTGCGAGGCTGCTAAAACTTTTGACCAACCATTGGCAGATGCGCATCTCCCACACACACTCCTTGTTTAGTCAGTTCTTGTACTAATTAATCGCCCTCTCCACCCAGTACAGTACAGTACATGAATAGAAGGAGGGTGCTGTACCACCCAATATTTTTGGTAAAAGGTACTATAAGACACAGAGTATCTAGAGCACCAGAATTAATATTCAGCGCTTTGGTAAAATTTGGTTCCCGTGGTAATGACACAGTAACACCCAACAACCTCCCCCACTGTATACAGACCGACTCCACTGTCATAGACTTTATTTAATCTACAGTGTATTTCCTTTATTCCAAATTTCAACTATCTGAATCTTCCAGGTATCTGAACTTTGTCCCCTTTGGTCCTGTTCAATATAAAAATTTAATTTAGTCCAACAACTAATGCAACTTAAGTCATTCATTCACGGTTCCCATCAGTAGCTTTATAACCACTTTGTTAACCAAAGAATTTATGATAAACAATAAAATTGATGCATAACATATAAAACACAATAGCACATATTTTATAAAAAATAGCCTTCAACACTCAACCCATCATCTGAGTGACACCACACAGTTCAGCCAGGCAGAGTCAACCAGCTGACTGAGATGTGTGTGTGTGCGGTGATGTCACATTGTGGGAGGGACGCAGGTGAGCCGGCCATGTAGTACTGCTCACTGCCTCCACACATGTTCACCCCTCCCCTCCTCACAGACACACACACACACACACATTAACTTTATTTTTATCTTCTTCGCCACTGATCGGCCAGTTAGCCACTTGGTCGGTCGGTCATGCCTCTGTTAGGCACTACTGGCAAGTACTGAACATGAACACACACCCACCTATGCTCTTAATTTTTCTTATTTTATAGTTTTATATTACATTTTCTTTATTTCTAAGTCACATAAGAAAATGGTTTACTCGGACAGACTATAATATATATGCTAGTTGTTCTGGAGATGATTTTAATTACTAAAGTACTGTAAATTACAGCTTGTGATATAACTATATTTGGTAATTTGCATGTACAATAATTCTGAACATATAAGATATGCAAAACTCTCCCCACACTAACATTAACTTCAACTAATCTGAAAATAATTGGTCAGTTTAAAACATACTTGCACAACAACCTCAACATCCACAGCTCGGACTTACAGTACGTCTCCAGTCATACCCCAATTTTGCTCGCATAATTCTTACCCCTGCCCTCCCCTACACCCATGTTTTGTCTTTTATCTGCTATGTTGTACAGTACAGCACTAAACTGAATTTTTAATGCTACTTTTCAGTTTTCATTGTGTATTTCTGTAAATATGACATATGGTAGGAAGGCATAATGACCAGCAAAATTGCAGCTTTAGAAAAACAATTGTTGTACAGGTATAATGCTCATCACACCTATTTCATGTACCCGAAAAGATGTGCAGCCAGGGAGGTTTAAAAAAAATCCAAACTGAAAGAAAAAATATAAATGTCAACATAAGAGACTTCATGAAATTGTGCCATCAACAATCATATATTTAAAGTAGTGTTATACAGGCACCTGTACTGTACCTTAACCTTGAAGATTACTTCTCCTAAACATTTTTATAACTATGAACTGAGTGTGTACAGGCAGCACTGCGGTTTTTATTATTATTATTATTTTAATTTCAGACAACCTGGGAATCTTAGGAGTTTTATCTTTGCAATCAATAGTTTAAACAATTCTAAGACACTTTTCTCTTGTGAGGTTTCCCTCGCAGATAACTTGTATTTGCCAGGGGATCCAGGGGGTAAGGGTAACTTCATAAGAAAGTCTATTAAATTTGTCTAAACAATTGATTGCAATAATTACTGTAACAGGAAGTTTTTCATGTCCTTAATGATCCACATAATAGGTCTGTTCACCAGTACCATTTTACAGATTTTTTCTGTTTTCGGGCACAGTGGTCTGCCCTTTTCCTTGTACAGATGGACATAACTCTTATTGACTCTGGATCCATGAATGAAGTGATGGGAGATTTGTTGTTGGTCAGGTGGTAGAAGCATATCACATTAGAGAGCTGAAATACCTGAGCTTCCTTTCCTGTTGCCTTTGTTTCAAGAGCAATAGCACTTATCACTTACGTTTCTTTGATCAGACATTTTGATAATGTTAAATTATAGATGAAACTGTTAAAAAATGCATAAGTGCAATGTAAATTAATATGTTTTTGAACTTGGGCTATGTGGCACTGGCAGACGGCCTCGGGAGTTTATTTACTATAGTATTTAAGCTAGAATGGTTACAAGTGGAGAAAACTGGTTCAGGTGCTTTTAAGTTCAAGTAGGATAAGATGCAGCTATGATAGTCAGTTTGTATTGTCATGGTTATTTGAAATGGGATTAGTCACAATAATTTTAATAGCCATCATTATTAAAACTAGTACACTGGCATACAATGTAAACTGTACAGTACTGTACTCGTAAAAAAGAAGTTACTCCCGTCAGTAACAAAGTTTCATAACAAATGAGACATAATTCCTGTTCTTGTAATGTAGTTACATGATGTATCAGTTTAATGAAAATACTAAGTTCTAGGTTACCTCAGGTGAAGTTATGTCGTGACTCCACCCTTGATGACCACACAGTACAGTGAAAACTAAAGAACTATTTCATAACTTTTCAAAATTCAGTGTATTGGTCTGTACTGTATCTTAAACAATACTGTACAGTAGTAGTAATGCCACAAAAATTACCTGTATATATAAATTGAGATAAAAAGGGATCTTCCTTTACTGCTTAAAAAGTCCAGTCTAATGATGAGTGAAGAGAGTGAGTGAGTGAGTGAGTAGTTACACACAGTTGTTTCTTATACCTTGTATGACAATCATAATAGTGATGATGTAACTGTACAGGTAGACAGATGACTTGGCCATAACCGACTCGGTCATCCACGTGCATCCCTCTTTGTGTTGAGGACATAGACGTGATCAAAGTTTTATAAGTATTTATAGTAAAGTTTATGCTGTATTATTATGTATATGATATATTTATGATGAAAAGCTCTCTATGTAATGCTACAGTGCCCATTACTGTACTGTAATGTTCCAGTGC